TGAGTTGAGTTAACGATTATAAGTAAGCTAGGGCCCTGAGAGTAATTTAATTATAGGTAAGTGACTGACTACTATTCTTGCGACTTCTTACTAGTTTTGTGTGATATGCTTGTTTTCGCTTCACAACACCACACCAACAAAACAAACTACCTTTCATTCTCGTCATCGCCTTAAATTTTACCTTTTTGAACAATCTTTTTATTAATGTCTATTTATTTATTAAATGTTGACTGGTTTCTAGTTTTTTTTAATTTGGTTATATAATTTTTGGATATTTCTTGATTAACTCTGTGTATATGCATGTATAAATAATTACTGTTTGGTATGTTGATTTAGCCATTATGTTATGCTGTGAACTATTCTTGCTAAATGTTATTGTTACGTGAATCATTCTTAGAGAACTACTAACGAGTGTGTATGATAATAATGGGTAATAATTATTTTTTATCGGTCAATATTTTGTTAATTTGTTTGTTTAAAATACGAATTTTAAAAAAATGACGTTTTTTAAAATTTTAATTAACCGTCACTTTTCATTTTTGAATGAATTCAAATTAAAGCAACCATTGTGTTTGTCTTTCTTTACTAAAATCTCGAAATTGTTAGTAGATCTGTAAGTTTAAGTGTTTGTTCGAGTTTGAACAAGCCTTGAAAATATTTTTTTTATTATTTTTTTTTTCGTTTATTTGGTTCATTCAATTTGGTTCATTGATTGGTCGATTGATTGATTGATTGATTGATTGATTGATTGATTGATCTCATAGAATTGTATACATCAGTGCTATTCAAAGTATTTCGGGACATTTTTGTCAAATGCAGTTAATTTATACCTTTCATATCCATCATTCATAAATAATGATGCTGAACTGGTAAAAGAGATGAACCTATTTTTATTATGTATTGATATTTTTAATTAGTTCGGATTCATACCATTTTCTTTCTTGTCTTTGATTTAACCACTTAGAGAGGAACGAAGCCACTTCTTTTTCATCGTTTACTTGCAACTCATCTATCAAATGGGTATCTTCAAGCATGCATACAAACATACGTACATGTATATTAATGGTAAAATATTTATAGTGGAAGAAATGAAAAAAGATAAAAATTATTTTTAGTTTAGAACTAGGTTACTCGGCAGACTTCGTACTGCCTCAATCGATAAATAAGACCTAAACTTTTGTATAAAACAATTTTAAAACAAACAAAACGTATCCGTATTCAATAAAAAAGAATATTTTGAATGAAACATGAAATTTTATTATTATTTTCAACACATCATGTTGCTTAATTACAAAATAGAGTATTCCAGGTGACCCGGCAGACTTCGTACTGCCTCAATCGATAAATAAGACCTAAACTTTTGTATAAAATAATTTTAAAACAAACAAAAAACAAATCAGTATTAAAAAAACATAATTTAATAAAGCATAAGTTTTATTATTTTTATTTTCGACACATCATGTTGGTTAATTACAAAATAGAGTTTTCCTGAAATACTGGTTTTTTATAATGTTCAAATTTGATATTGACAGACGCACACTGCTACGAAACAGTTTTTTAATCAATTCAAAGCTTTCTCATAAACTTTATTTTTCGTTTTGTGGTGCGTAAATAAACAGAGAAATTGGTCTTCCGACGCGCGAACACGCGACGTATAATTGTCCATGCGCGAAACAGGAGAACTCCCAATTGATTCCACAAACTTCTAACGACTGTCCTTGCGATTTTTTTATGGTCATCGCAAAGGCCAGACGTACTGGAAATTGTAAGTGTTTAAGATCGAATAGTAAATCCGTTGGAATCATCGGTATCCGCGGGATCAAAACATCCCCTCCTTTGTATTTTCCTTTTATGATTGTTGCCTCAATGACGTTATTCATCAGCTTTTTCAGAGCCAGTCTTGTTCCATTGCACAGTCGAGGTTGATTAATGTTACTCTGCATGATGACAACTGACCCTATTTTTAACGGCAAATTGTGAGGTGGTAATCTAGACAATTCTAGTAAATTAAAAAACTCTGTGGAATAGTTGACTACGTCATCCTGGTTCATAAAGGTGTCGACTGATTTGAAGGAAACCAGCTGTCCTGAAAGAAAATTCTGAATGGTGGCACTGAGATCCTCGACATTTTTACTTTTCGCCGCCAATATTGCTCGTTTACCTAGCCAATTATGGTTATTGAACTTTTGTGCTATATCTGGGAAAATACGCCGATTAAGCTCCTCTTTTGAGTTTGTGATGTGACAGAAATCTGTGTGTAACGTGATGAATCCGGTCGAGGTGATCACTGCAACTTTATTATTTCCAATGTCTAACACAACTGCTTTGCAAACACATTTGCAGTTTCATCTTGTTGCAAAAATACTCGCATGTTAGTTGTTAATTGAAGTGTCATTACATACTGCCACAAATTTGATGATTTTAGGCATGCATTTAGTTCACCTGCAACAGTAGACCGGGGAATAACTGTGTTCCCAGTAAGTAAGTAGAAATATTCTGGTATAATACCTTGAAAGTGAGCATGAAATTGTACTGTATAATATGTGTAGCGCCAAATGATGTCATCTGAAAACAGCTGTTATATTTTTGAATGTTGGCCAAGAAGTGCATAAAATCATTTCCGATCCCAGAAACTAATGATCGTAAAGGATCTGGTGGTGGGACCAATTGTGGTAATTTTACTTTGCCTCCAGCACAACATAATCCAGTAGATTTATGAGTGTGTTTTAACGCCTTACAATATTTACAAATTATTTTTATTTCCCCAATTGTTACCGATTTGTCGACACAATAACCTATTGTCGAATCGTAGTGGAATGCAGCTTGCTCAAGGACCACTGGAGCATTCTGTCTGCGGATTCGATCAATTTCATTATGTCGTGCTTGCTGTTGTTCTGTTTGATGTGCATGATGCATTCTAAGCCTATATACTTCATTATCACTCACTAAATATCGCAATTCTGACATAGCAATACGACTATTTTCTAGATCTGTCTCTCTCTGGTCATCAGTGCAGTTAGTACGTGAGGTAGCTCTTCGCACACTTGATTGACTGTGACGACCTAAGTCTTCTCCTTAACATCGTAAATTGTTAATAATAAAAGTGAGAATATTTTTCGCTCACTTAGCAGTAAAGTGTCACAATCACAAAATATCCAAAAAAAGAGCACTCTGGATGTCACTATCACAAAGGATCAAAGTAAAGAAAGTTCTCGCGCACTCATAGATATTGTAACACAATATCGTAATACTTTTTTCAGTGTTCTAAAGCTGCGCTTCTCAACCTTTTGAGATCCAAGGATATAATGACGTAACAGCTACACATAGTTAGTATAATATAGTTCTTAGTATTAATTATAACTATTAGACTTAGAGAACTACAGTTACAACACTTGACTATATGTGTACTATAATTGTTATTTAAAATTATTTATTATATATTTTAATAAATGTTTTAACTTCAAATTAAAAAATATAATGTTCGTTTTACATCGATGTTTGCATACACCTTATCTCACGGCGTATCTGGTGTAGGCTATCATCAATTTTTATGTGAAATATGAAACAAATTTTAATTGCATCTTTAACAATGAACAAATTTCACTTGCTAACAATAATGAATAATAATAAACAGGTTGTTTTTTAACGTGCCAAGCACATTAGAAATAATGCAAATTTAATTTTAGTGTGAGCCCTGAGCTTGCAGAGTTGAGTATAGCTTATCCAAACGAGGCGTAATGCTCGAAAGACGCAATCATAGTTCATCTTTTTCATTTTTTTATATTAAAAAAAATGGCACTTCACACTGCTCGCGGACCACCAGGCAAATGTCCAGACAAACCACTGTTCTAAACTGTGGCAGGATGGATTGAACTATTAGTTGAATTTGATTGAATATCAATAAAGTTCACATTGACTTTAAATTTTATTTAAAAACTGTTTAAATAGGAAAAAGAAAAGGGCTGTTTTTAGGGTTTGGACCATGGGAGCAACGTTTATATTCAATGTATGTACCTACACGGAGCAACGCCTATATTCAATATATGTACACACGGAGCAACGCAATGTAAGTGCGTAAATTGTTGTATCAGCCATTCCTTTTATCTTGTGTTCGTTTTTGGTTCTTGCTAAGCATAGTGCTTTGCTTTCTGTTGTGTTGTCAAATCTCGTTTATTACAAACCGATAATTAAACATTTGAGATCAGAGTTGTGCCGAATTCACTTTTTTAATTTGATAAATAATTAGTGCTAATTATTTTAGTTATTAATTGCGGATGTAGGAAAGATGTCATCAAATGTTGACTGGCAATCTGGAAAATCCCACAAGGAATGTGACATGTAAGGTGTTTTGTAAGCTCTATAAAATAAATGCTAATTAGTACCATTGGTTTTTTAGGTTTAGTGTTTTGTTCAAGTTCATGTTTTAAGTTCTTGATGATTTTTTAAGTTTAATTTATTCAAAATTATAATTATATAATTTTTATTATAATAAAATAATTATATCAAATTATTAAATAAACAAAAATGAATAAATATAGAATAAATAAATTGATTAAGCAAGTACCAATCGATTTGATTCATTTTTTTAAAAATTATAATATAGATTGTTTTTATATAGTATAATATTATTTAATATAATATAAACAATATGGTATATATATATATTATATATGTATGTATATAATATAGTATTACTTGCATTTTAGACTTTTTCAGAAGAGAGCTAAATAATAATTTGATAAATAAATACACATCTAATTTATTTATAATATAGTATACAATTACAATAGATTTAGATTTTTGAAATTTAATTGGCCAATTAGATATTAGCATTATTTTTATTTATATATTTAAAATTCAAATGTAAAATTATTGATAAATAGCAGATTTTTTCTAAAATATTTAAACATGGTGAATGTAAGTTATGCTTTATGTTCTCATTAAGAAAAAACAATATTAAGAAAATAAATGTTGTAATCTTATGTAAACTACACAGGTATATGTTGGAACACGAAATTGCATGTGATGTTGTATTCATTTTAAATGCAGAAGATGGTAGTGCCTACGAAATGAAGGCTCATAAGTATATTCTTATATCTCGGAATCCTGTTTTCTATGCCATGCTCATGAATGACACTCGAGATAAAAGTGAAAAAATTACAATTACTGATGTTTTACCAAATGCTTTCAAGGCATTATTAAAGTATCTAATTTATTTATATTAAAATTTCTTATAAATGTGAAATTGAAGTTTATCAGTTAAAATGAGTTTAAGGCAGCATAGCATATTTCATTTTGTTAAATATGTTTAATTTTTTCTCTATTTGGAAATTTATTACACTTTAATATGTTTTTGATAATTGTAACATTGATAAAATATTTGTGTTTAATATCTTCTTGCCTTGGGCATGACATAAAACTGCATCCACGCTACCTTGCGTGCTTTTGAGCAAAAGGCTAGACCCACCGCTTATAACTGGTGGTTGTCGTCAGGATGGGTTTCCGGATGTAAAAATTTTTCCCCAAATTATTTTATGCCATCAAGAAGAAAAAAATTGATGGCAAAGAAAGCAATGTCCTACCTCGGGGGAACTGGGTCTCTGGACGCTAAACGAAGATTGATTGATTTGATCTCCTTGTCACACATTATCTACATATTAATATGATTATCAATATAATTGTACAAAATTGATTTCATTCAAATTATTGCATTGATTTATTTGCAGCTTTCTCTATTCTGAAAATTGTCAAATTACTCCAGATCTGGTGTTACCAATTCTATATGCTAGCAAAAAGTACATAATTCCAAAACTGGCAAAGAATTGTGTCAAGTTTTTAGAAGAAAACATGAATAATGAAAATGTCTGTTTGATATATGACCATTGTTTGATGTTTGAAGAAACAGAACTTGCTAAAAAGTGTGAGAAGTTTTTAGAAATAAACACAGAAAATGTTCTTAAGCCACAAATAATTACCACATTATCAGGTTTATTTGCTATAACATTAATTTGAGTCATATTTTGTTTTTTTTTGAATTATTTTATTTGTAGAAAGTGCATTAAAAAACTTGTTAAAGTTGCCAGTTGTGTCTGTGAGTGAAATTAGTTTATTCAATGCCTGTCTTGTCTGGGGAAAAAATGAGTGCAAGAAAAAAGAACTAGATTCTCAGAGTATTGAACATTTAAGAGCAATTTTGAAAGACATACTTCTCTACATACACTTCCCCTCCATGACTAATGAAGAATTTGCAGAAGTTTCAAGAACTAGTTTGTTAAACCCCGAAGAAAGGTTGATTTTTTTTAATTATAAAAACTGCAACTTTCAAAAATTAAATTTCTTTAGGTGTTTGATCTTTGAATATATAGCGGGAACCGCTGAAATGAAGTTGAGCCAGTCCAAATTATTATGTTTTCCAACTGATGCTCGGCAAAAGCCACCGTCCATTTATTTGAAGAGATTCAACTTGTTCAGCAAAAGTAATTTATATTCAGGTGACTGTAGCATGATGAGGTTTTCTTGTGATAAGAGTATCATCATCAAAGGATTTGGTATAAGTTCTTCTTTTGATTTTGATCCTGTGTGTGAAGTGCAGGTAGCTCAAAAATGTTTTCATTCACCTTTTGAATTATTACTTTCTTATATCATTTATTTCACATAATCACACAGCTTCATCATTTTCAAATTTTTAGTACACTCATGATTTCATTGCTAGTATAAAACATACTTTAAATGCGTAATTGTAACGAGAAAAACTTGTGATTTTTTCAATACAGATAGTGATAAAACATGAAAGAAAATTCATATATAGTAAAACTTTGCAAATCAATGATGATATGACTGGACAATTTGCTGAAGTTATGCTGGGCACTGACGTTGTATTCATTCCTTTTATCTTCTACACAGTCATGATAACATTTCACTTTTCTGGAGAGCATGATCAAGGTACATGCAAAAGAGGAAAAGGTGGATCGAAGATCATGTCAGTTGATGGCTTCACTTTCGAATTTGACAGATGTGATTCAGGCAGTCTGATCCCCGAGATAATATTCTGTAAAAATCAGTGATTGTATTAATGATTTTAATTACGTGTACCCTTCGTATTTTTGTTACTTTTGTTGCATTTTAAATTTATGACCGATTTCATTCATTCGTTTTTACAGCATTCTCCGACGTCTTGATTGTAAACATAGGTACATTTACGCACGCACACACACACACACACACACACACACACACACACACACACACACACACACACACACACACACGTAAAGTAAGCCATCTGTGCATATAAATTGGACAATGTCAAATTGTATATAAGAGGAATCTCATTTTTATCTGCCATTATTATACTTTTTTTTAGATTTCTAATCTCGCTTTTAACAAAAAATAACATCCGATAATACCTTTCTTATTTTTATGTTACATTTGTTGTATTTTAAATTGATGAAAAATGATAGAGAGGCTAGTCAATGTCATACAATGTGCAGGACCGATTTCATTCATTCGCTTTTACAGCATTCTCCGACGTCTTGATTGTAAACGTAGATACATTTACGCACGCACACACACATGTAAAGTAGACCATTTGTGCATATAAATTGGAACAATGTCAAATTTATAAGATCAATCTCATTTTCATTTGCCATTATGAAACTTTTTTTTAGATTTATAATCTTGCTTTCAACAAAAAAAAACTCTTGATAATAAAGTTTCAAATTTATTGTTACTAATCTCAATATTTTGAATTTTTAAAAATGATTAATAAAAAGTGAAGGTGAAGTTAGATCGCTCAGCTCCTGTACAACATATATTGTGTCTATATTTATTATATCAGATATCAACATAGCCTTGGAACTTTTCATTTTATGTTAGTCATTGGTTATAACTCGAATATTGTAACTGTGTTCCATTACCACGTTAACAAACTACAGAAGGTATAAAATACTGCAAAGACATATCTTCATTGATCAATATTAAATGTAGCATTTCGTCTGGCGTTATGTCTGAAATTCAAAAATAAAATCGAGAACTCTTAGTATTTAAACTGTAAAATCTGAAATTATGCAACAACTTACTGCAAATGACTTTTGTTGGGTTAATCTGCTGACCACTGAGCAGCTGAGCCAGTTTTTTTACATCAACTTTCACTTCAACTACCTCTTTGCTGTTGCAACTGAGTGGTTTCCTCGGTTGTGTTTCTTAATGAATTTCAAAACAAAATTATTAAAGTGTAATGACAGAAGTGTTTCAAAACTTAGAAATTACAGAAGACTTCATTTAATTAGAAAAAAATAGGAACTAACTTAAACCTGGATAGGTTAAATTTTCAAAGTGCGTTGATACATTAACAAGATCTTTTTCAATCTTGAATACCATTTCACCTTCATGATTGGCTCCCACAATCACGTGGTTGCTCAAGTTTTTCATTCTTTCAATAACATTTTTAACTATTTTCAAAGGAGGCATGTATATGCTGACCTTCAATATAAACAAAGCAGTTTTCACCAAGTGGCAAAGTTAAACAATTTTAACCATGATTATAAAATGATATCTAACTCCAAATTGAGGCAGAAGAGGCTCTGCAAAGTCTCCCCAGAACTTTCTTTCAATTAGCTCAACTGCAGAATCATGCATCACTTTTCGTGATGTTCCCGAGAGTGTTGGCTGGTTGTTCATTGATTTAAAAGTTTTTTTAGATTTATTCAATATTTGTCTTGAAGTTATATTATATTTTCAATCACACATTTACTCTCAAGTTGAAATCACATTTGATGAATACATATATTATATTTTCAATCACACATTTACTCTCAAGTTGAAATCACATTTGATGAATACATGCAAGCCCATAACATAAGGTAATAGGTTTTGAGTTTCATGTTATTAAAAATCATTCTACATAAAAAGCTTCAATAAAACATAAGAACCTGTTCGACTTCGAATGTTAAACAAGGTGACCCCTTTCTTGTCAACTTTATTTTGAGTGATTTGGCATTTTGAGAACATTTTAAACACTTTAAAAAGTTTTCAACATTAACGGAAAGATAAATTTCATTTGCTGTTTCCAGGTTAACACCTTCCATTAAATATTCATTGAATAAATTTTCCTAGCAAATCATAAAAAATGAAATTTGTCATATGATAAAGAATTTATGTTTCAATTTCATACTTGGGACATTTCACACCACACTCCAATACCTCCAGTAACTGTATGTTCAAGAAAAATCAAGTACAGCTTTTGTGCAGTTAGACGTAATTTGCAGTTTTTCGTTAGCTTTGAAATTGTGGCAATTATTTCTATGGAGAAAACATTAATTTATCAAAAATAATTCAACACACAAATAATATTCAGGTAAAAGTCTAGTACCCAAAAGCAATCTAACACTACAAAAAAAAAAAAGAAATTTTTTGGTAAAAACATTTTTTAATAACTCTAGACTTAAATGATATAATTGCCTAGAAAATTAACATACTAAGAATAAGTATATAAATTAAATACATTATATATAAACTTGGAAATGTAGAAGCTATAGAAATAAAATAAATAATTTTGAAAATTTTCAAACTGCTACTTTTTGACATTGATAAAACCACAATAAATATAATTTGTTTATGCCTAGAAAAAAAAAATAAAATTGTTCAAGTTTCTTTTTTAGTTATTATGTCTTAGTTAGTGGGTAACATTTTAATTTTTAGTTGAAACAACTCAACTGAGTGAGATGCAATAAAATAACAAATCACTGTTTTGCAGAATGAGACAACTAGGGCTGTAGCTAACACAAACATAATTTAGTATAAATTTATCCACCACAGTATTCTTGTACCCTCCTGTGGTAGAGTTAACTGGAACGATCAACTGAGCATCCAAACAACCATCACTAGCAAACTGTTGCGACAACCCCTTCTTGCCACAACAACATAATATTATAATATTTTTGCAGTCAGTCAAAAAAACATAAAAGTCAGCTGATTTTCATATTTTAAAAAATTAGTTCTGTATTGAAAATTAAACAATTGCAAACACTCAAGCCAAAATTTCATTACCTTTTTAATTTCTAATAATATTAGTAAAAAATAAACTACTAATGTTTAGTTAGTTTACTTTACTTTTACTTATTCACATTTATAGTTTTATAAATTTTTTAATACATTTTTTAAAAGTTTTACTTCTAAAAAATTAACATTAATTCGTTCAGCAAAAAGTTTAAAAATGTTTGAATACTAACTCGTTAAATTATGAATATTACATATATCAAATATTTTACCACGAAATTTCATGTTAGCAGGTTGATGAAAACCAAATTATTAATTTTTTTCAAGTTAGACTAGAGAGAACCCGCTACCACACAGTAGAAAATTAACTTTTGCATAAATTTAAAAGTTAATTTAGTTTAAAAGTCACGTTTTAAAGAAATATTCAATCAATTAATTTGTGAAGCGCTATTTCCACAATGTTCAAACAGCGCTCCTCAGTGAATTTTGCAAACAGATGGGTCTTGAGATGCGCTCCGAAGTTCGTAAGGGATGGAGAAGTAGTTAGAAAAGAAGGTAGAGAGTTCAAGAGAAAAGGGCCAGGAAAAGCAAAGGCAGATTTAACCTTTAGCTTTAGCATAAGAGTTTTTAACAAAAGTAAAGAAGTGAGAACGATAAGACGATCGTAAACCGGGGCGTTTAGGTTTAATTAATATATCTGACAAGTATGATTGGTCGGGGTGAGTGATAGTGTACTTTACAAACCGTACTGGTCAACCATACTCGCGTAAGCAGGTCTGAATTTTTTACCCTATATATATATATAAATCTTTTTCATAAGTTAGATATAGCTAGTTAATCAATAGATAAAACGAACGAAGTAACATTTAAGAGAAGAGAATGATCTTTAAGAAAAGGCAGATTTGGTATTCTACGTAGATGAAATTCTACTTCAGTTTTATCTATATATATGAAATAAAATATGTAACATTTAGCTGTATAGCAAATCTAGCAAATAAATATAAAATTATTGGAAAAATAATAATTAAAAATTATTTTGATTGGTGATATCGAAGTCTTTGGTAACAAGGCGGATGAAAACATTGATTATATTCATTTTTTAGATATTTTTTAATCAAAATTGTCGTTTAATGTCTGTTTCGTGTTGATAGTTGGGATATTTTTTTTTCATAAAATGTTTATATGTCATTATTATCAGTAAAATGCTTGGACTTAATGGTTTTTTATTATAACACTTGAATATTCCTGTTTTGTTTTTAAAATTAAATAATGAATAACAATTTCTCATTTTTTTATTTATTAAAAAAGTTAAAGTTTAATTTAATTAATTAATTGAACTTTACATTTATTAAAATAATCTTTGATCTTTCATTTGATTATTTATGGAAATTAAAATTAATTAAAAATGAAATTGATTATTTAAATAAAAAAAATTGAAATACAAAAATAATTTTGACTGGTAATTCAATTCTTAGTTTTAAAAATATTAAAAACTTATTATTAGTTAGCCAAAATAAAATTATTAACTAGAAAAGTTGAAACAGAAACATGAGTAAGTTGTTTTGGTAATTTTTTTATTTTTATTTTATTTCATCTATTTGTAATAAATAGTAATAATAATGATAAAAATTGAAACTGGGTAAGATTGTTTTTTTAATAATGTAATTTATAATATGATAAATTATACTGATTAATTAATTAATTATTTGAAATATTCATTTTATATATGTTAATTTATTTTTTAATTGTTAATAAATAAATAAATAAATAAACATTTAATCTGATAAAATTGATTTAGAATTTTAGATAGAGGGTTTATTAATTTTCATTTGAAAATGACTATCATAGAGTAATAAAATTTATTCAAATTGAATTCTAACACCATTTTTATTTATTATATTATTTTCATATTTATAATACTCTAATACTTTGTGGTTAAACTCAATAATGCTAAATTTATAATGCTATTTTTTAATTTTTAAACTGAATGTTTCGAGAGTCAATTTTCAGTTCATTTCATATTGTTTCATTTCTAATAGACAGAACACTAGATGCAGAAGAAAAGATTTTGTTGGCACAGTCAGCCAAAGAAAGAGCTGAAATTGTGGACAAGTATGACAGAGTTAGTTCTTATTTTATTTGTATATTTTTTTAAAACATTCACAAATTTCAAACTTGTCATTAATCAACTCAAAATATAATAATAATAGTAATTTAATAAATGGTCAATATACAACTTGTCCAGGGTGGAAAGGGAGTTGACATTGATCCATGGGAAGACCCTACATATGAAGTTTACCACGTGACAGACAGATATGGCTTTATCCAGTAGGTGTCTTTGTCAGAAGATGCTGTTGTCCTTAGTTAATTTTAACTAATTAAATTTTTTAATTTCAGTGACAAGAGATTGCCCGAGGTTATGAGTACTGTGGAGATGAAGGTAGTTATCATGGTTTAGCGTGTTATAATAAGCATCTATTTTTAATTTTAATTAGTACAGCTGCTGATGAAATAATTATAAAAATCAACAGGATAGCTACAATTATAAATTGGTAATTTAAAATAGTTTAAAAATTTTTGTAGGCGAAGCAAACTGAGATAGAGCGAAAACAGAAATGGGTTAAAATGTGCTCTAAGTGGGACCAATCCTACGGATCTGACAAAGTTGGTTGTTCAGTGTGTCGCATTTACTTGAGCATTTAAATATATTGTTTAATATAATTTTTATGTATGTTTAATATACTTAGAGTGTAATACTTAGTGTGTAAAAACATATCAAATGTATTAAGTGTAATGATTTTGTGTCATTTCTGTTGTCAATGCAACTAAAGATGTGTCTGTGTGGGCGTTATTGGCAACAACATTAGCGCGACCATATTTTATTGTCTTGTCATCCGATTAAGCGATTGTTTAATTTTCGTTTGTCTACTCTAATTGATCTTTTTATTAAGTTTTCATCTAGCTTCTAAATTTTTCTCAAATGATGAATTATAAAAAATTAGAATACTATAATATTAATTTGTTCTTGTGAATGTTCATAGTACATAATGAACAAACAGTTCTTCAAAAGACTTTACAAGGGCCTACCAGAGGCTATCCGAGGTTTGGTATGGAGCAAGATTTTAAAGTTGAATGACGTTAAGAAGGAGAACGAGGGCGTCTACGAGGTCAGTGGAAAAAAAAATCTTTTCATTGCTGATTGATTTGCTTGATTTATTGGTTTGTGATGGTGGTGTTGTTTGATTGTGCTAATAATAATAACTTGTCAGTGTTTAATTGTGTATTTCACAACTTAGACATATACATGACATATAACATATGACATATACATGACATATATGACTTATAGCTGTGACATATCAACTACGTATATCTTCCTTTTTTGAGTTATGGCTACCTTGCCTTTCTGTATTCTAGGCGGAAATGTGTCACTAAGGATTAACATATAAATAATGTTTACATTTACAGATAGGTACTGTTCAGTTTCTATGTTAATGTTACAATGTAAAATGGTTCTCCGTTGAACCTGCAGCTGCCTATGATAATGAAAGATTCGTGATGTGGTGACTGTAATAATGATGTAGATGATGACTGTTCATTAGCAATGATAATAAAATGCTGACCGTTCATTGAAGGACATGAAGCAGAAGGCACGTCGCTGGTGTCCAGATATTCGTCAGATCGACCTGGATGTCAACAGGACCTACAGGAACCACATCATGTTCAGGAAGAGATATGATGTCAAGTAAGACTTACATCTCCATGTAATTCCATAAGCAAATATATAATTATGTGTTAATATATATATATTTTATGTTAATGATGTTTGACTGACTCCTTAATGTCAACCTGTACCTTTTACTTTTTTGTATCAAATAAAATGTTGTATTTTATTATTGTGTATATAATCACATTACCATATATACCTTATAGCAACACATTTATAAAATGCCAGCCTTGTATAATTAATGTAGTAAATAATGTGATGAGTGAATGACATAATAATGAAACAATGCAAAACACACCAACCCACTACCACCACTGGATATTTCACAACAGACAACAGTCACTGTTCCACGTACTGGCCGCATACTCCATGTACAACACGGAGGTTGGCTACTGCCAGGGCATGAGTCAGATTGCTGCCATCATGCTCATGTACATGAATGAAGAGGTGAGTGGAAGTGATGACGACCGTGACGATGGTGACTGTAGTGTAGTGAGGTCGGTGATTGTGGTTAGGAAGATAATGTTGATGGCGATGGTGGTTGTGATAATTATGGTGATAACGAAGGTGGATGAGGTTTGTGATGATAATGATGGTTGTAATGATGATGATGATGATGATGGTGAAGATGATAGTTTGATAGGAGTAAAATGTTTTTTATTAATGGTTTGATTTGCGCTTGTTTTTAAAGATCTCAACCATTTTATGATATGATTAGTTGAACAGTTAGTTGATTGATGTGCTGTTTAGTTGAGTTAAGATGATTTTACGATGACTGCGTTGATGATTCACTCTTGGGATATAACGGCTGGTTAGGAAATTCAAATTAGATAATTTCATCATCTTCACTTATAATAACAATGTAATAGCACAATTGAAGTATGCTAATTTTAGGAAGAATTTCGTTCATATTGTTGAAACAATCAATAGTGCATGATTCACTATAATAATTTTACTGCTAAACAGCTATCATGTATGCAACATTTTTAATATTTTGTGCTCGTAAATGTGAACACATGCGACATGTAAATATATTTATTTTTGGCTCTGCTGTATGTATCAAACTGTCATTATAATACGCTGCCTTGTGAGATGGTTGAGCAGTAGTAAGGATTGATGACTTGCTTCATCACCAATCCAACGATACTAACAAAGTCTGGTGGACAGATCACTACCTGCAACTTATCACTATAACTTATCAACCACACCTTTCAATTCACACTGTTATTTACTTTAAAATTTTTTCAATCAAAGTTGCCATTGAAGTTATTAAGGGAAAAATTGTGATGTTCAACTTTCGTAAGCTGAAAAGAATGTAGTAAAATTTTGGCAAACATTACTAATGTTAATATTTGTAATACTGATGGTGTTCTTTATGTATTTGGTTGAAAATTATTATTTTTTTACCACACCATTTATTTACACACAATCACAGTATCATAGGTTCAAGCATATGACAGTTCATGAATTTTGCAAAGACTGTATTCAAAGTTAATATAACGCAGTGCAATTGATTCTCATTAGACTAATTATGTGAAACATGAGACTATCATTATCCATTGCCAGAACAAACTTCATCAACTTGACAGCATGTAGGGACTCATAGATATACCTGAGTGATGTTGGGAACCATTTGGAACTGTAGATATCTATAGAGATTTTTATGAAGTATGCTGAGTGAAACGAAGGAAATATAAAACATAACAGAAATGTTATCATTGAGAGGAGTTGGGTCAGCAAGTATGTGTTGATGCTTTGCTATAACAACGAAAAATAGAGATAGGTTTTAAAGAAAATGTTTCACCATGAAAAGCTCAAGTCGTGCGTTGTTTTTATGAAATGGAAATCTTGTTTTATTTTTGTAATGGTGAATTTGTATAAGTAGGATTTTTGTTTGTGCCAAATTTAATGAAATTTTATGCCTGACACTTTATATGCTATATATTTCTGTTAGTATACAAAGGTTAATAAAATACAAAATAATACAGGATGCGTTCTGGGCAATGTCACAACTGCTGACGAACGATCGACACGCTATGCACGGTCTGTACACATCTGTCATCTAACTTTTGTCATCTGTTTGTTTGTTTTTTCGTTTGTTTGTTACTTATAAGAATCACTTAATGAGCTTGCATGAATGTTAAGTCAACGTTTGGTTTGGCGCCTGATGATTCAGTCTGTACAGAATAGGCAGGTGTTTGTTTGCATGCGGGCTATTTAATACAATTAAATGTATGAATAATCATAACTTCAATTATCTTGGCAACATTTATTGTCTAAATTTTTACTTTTTTTCTGAATAGATATTTTTATCCAGTGTATTCTTTTTCATTTGCACAAGTGAATTTTTAATTTGATTCGAATAAGAAAATATTCTGCATTCAATTTTAAAATTCAAATACAAATAAAAATGGACTTGGTAAAAGTAATGAGACTTTGAACTTAACAAATATTCTTCCCATGCAGGTTTTTTCATACCTGGCTTTCCAAAACTCATTCGCTTTCAGGATCACCATGACAAAATTCTCAAAAAGTTTCTTCCCAGAGTTAAAAAGCATTTGGTTTGTACTAAATATTATTTTTTTAAAACGCAAAAAGTTTTTTTTACATGATCAAATGTTTAAATACTTTCAATATATCATAATTATTTTGTTAGATAAGTACATGTGCATGCACACACACGTACTTATATGTAAGTGTATCGCTTATATACAATATATTTAAACAAACGCATAAATATTTATCATTATGACTTATAATAATTATAATAACAGCTTGTAACTTTAAAATTTTGCAAAATTTATTTTTAAAATGTCATTCGACGACCTGTTTGCAGACGAGGAACGACATGTACACACCTCTGTACACCATCAAGTGGTACATGCAGTGCTTCCTGGATCGAGTATGTCACTTTCAATATTTTATTTTCCATTCAATCTTTATTCAACATATTTTCTGTTATTGCATAATGTTTTTTCAGGTAATAATTTTTGAAGCTTAAACACTGACAATAGTTTTTATTTGTTATTTGATATCTTCATCTTACTTGGCAATTTCTTGATATGATTTGTTGTTTGCTTAAGTTTCTTTTTCTTGAACGTCGTGATTCAACAATGGCATGGTATCGAAATATTGATTTATCTATCCACCTCACTTTTGTGGTCCATTCCATGATGAGACAAAATGTTAAAAAATTATCAAGAAATTTGTAATCATTTTTTTTTGAGAGGCTTTATTTATTATTGATTGTGTTTTCTTTGTTGGTAACAATCGCATTACAACAATACAGCAACAAAATTAATTTCTTGTTTAATTTAATCTGTTTGAGATGTTATCTCAAGTCGCATTTAAAATCTTTAATCTGTTTAAATTTCTTTCATTTAAATTATAAAATATCTTGTAATATAAGTAAGGATTATACACTAGAAATAATATATTATTTGTTGACCTAAAATGTTTTGTGCTTCCAGATAGAGTTATAAATTTTGGTGTCTCGTGTTAGAAATTTATAATTTTGCTGGCTTAGGCTGAGTTAATTCTATTAGGTGTATAGCATTTTCAAAATGAATATACATGTTACAGTAATTTGCAGAAACTTCTCATTGAACCTAGGTTCCTTTTCCATTAGCTATGAGGTTGTGGGACATATACATATATGAGGGAGAAAGATTGTTAGTAGCTATGTCGTACAACATCATCAAGATGCACAAAAGTTATTTTCTCTTTATATTAGTCTTTTATTTTTGTACAAGAATTAAAAGCTTGTTATGAATTGACTTATTTTTGTCATGTCAAATACAATTTATGGATGAAATTATGATGAAATTTAGCATTTTGAGTACTGTTGTTCACTGTTTGATCTAACGTAAAGTATAAAAATCAATACATTAGTTAATACTATATCAAATCCAGACAAATACAAATCTCTTACGCATGTCAACATTTTAAATTTTAACAGAGCGTATAATGCAGTTGGACATGGACCACTTGATGTCCTTCTTTCAGGTTGGTTTGGTCACTGACTTTGGCTACCATGGTGATAAAGTTATAGAATCGCTGATCGAATGTGCAGAAGATCTAAGGAAAGCCAAGATGGACCTTCCCCCTCCTTCAACTGACATTTCTCTCGAGAAGCCTACCAAACCTTTCGGAGTTTTCGAAATACCTGACTTGGATCAAGTCATTATAAAGTAAGTTCTGTTTAAGTTTGTAACATAGTTGTTTGCGACATGGCGTACAGTAACAGTTTTATTAACAAGGACAATATATTAAACTATTATCAGTAGAAAACTATTGGATGATTACTGTGCTTTGTATCATTAATTGCATTATTTCCTAATAATTTTAACAGAATGATTACTAGGTCTACGTTCAAGCAACAACTTTTATTCTTTTTAATCATGCATAATTGTTTTTGAATAAAATTAAAATATCAATCAATTTACAATAACTCATATTTCATTTTTATTCTTCCGAAATTTTAACAGCATTCGAAAGTCAGAAAAATTGGAGTCAGTGGTGGAAGGTTCAGAAAAATTAAAAAGCACAGACAAAATGAACCGGCCAAGCATTCCTCCAGACGGAGGTCCAGTCCTTATTCCTAGTCCAGCTCTCAGGCGAATGACACTTCAGAAGGCCATAGAAGAAACGTCATCACTCATGGATGAAACACTGACCATAGACGAAATGAGTTCAAAAGCTTCATACACAGATAACCGATCATCAGATGTTGAAAGTGTTGACACATCTGTAGCCGGCGACATTGGCTCTTCTCTTCTCAACTTACCTGACAACCCGTTCTTACCACTTGCTGCCGCTGCTTCCAGTAACGCCAAAAAACATCTTCCAACAAATTTAAATATTTACACCAACACAGTAAGTTCAGATGCAACAAATATTTTAAGAGTCCATAGTCAGACCAGTGATCAATCCTTGCACAATGATAGCAACCAGAATCCATCGAATTCTTTTGCCAAGGCAATGTTCTTTTCTACTCCTCCAACAAGTAGCAAACCATTAGCTAGTCATTTTTTCCCTTATAAATTAGAGAATACAGACCAAATAGAAAAGTCTAAAACTTCACTTGATGAACAATCGTTTACAAAAAGCTCATCTCTTAGTGAAGACAAATTTTCAAAATTAGAAAAAGATCTTGACGATGCATTTGAAGAACTGAACAAAAATTTAAATGAGTTGAATTTAAATAAGGATATTTCTCCCGTCAACAAAAATAAATCAAGGCCATACAGTGCAAACATACCTAAAAATCATTTGGCTATACTCAGTAAGTTTGGCTCTATGAAGTCTACAAATGACGATAATGCAACTAAAATTGGCACATTAATTGAAGCTTCAACAGAAAAAACTGAAGTTTCAACGGAACCAAATGATGAAATGAATGTTAGTACAAAATTAACTTGTCAAAGTAATTTAACGATGGACCTTTTAAAAAAAAATGAATCTCCTGGTGATGAAATTATCATCCGTAATGATATAAATAAAGAAAACATAACAGAAGCAACACCAAGCCAACCTGATGACGTGCTTTCACTTTTTTTCAAAATACCGAATACCACTGAAACCGATATACTCATTGAACCACAAAACGCAACAGATGGTGTAGACAACTCGATGAAAAATATCCCTCTACTGTCTAATTCAATGTCTGAAGGTAGTTTAAAGAGTGCAAAGCCTGTACATGCACCAAACTCTGTTAGAACGTCTAGGATCCCCATGACCAAAAACATATCAATGAAAACTTCTCCGCCAATAAAACAAGTTAACCATGTAAAGTCACCCAATACATCTGCAGTTGATCTACCTAATCCGATATTGGCTACTGGAAAAATCAAACCTCCATCCATCTTCATGCCACAAAAACAATCAAATTACTCATTCTCTCATCCACCACAACGAATAGCTAAGCATTCGACACAAATCGTAGAAAAGTCAACAAGCAACAAATCAGATGAAACGGTTGGTAAAAACAGTGCAAAAGCTAGTGAAAGCAATACACCAAAAACACCGTTGTCAGGTAGTGGTTTGATGGGCAGTGAAAATTTTATGGTATCTGCAAAAGACAATACAACTATCAAAGATAATGAGAACTTTAACCCTTTAATAAATAGTATTCCTAATGCAGAGCCACGAACTAAATTACCTACACAAAACCCAACACATCCGACGAGTAATAAGTCATCAAAATTATCTAAAATTCCACCTAAACCTCCGACCAGAAATTATAAAACGAAGCTAGCGACGCTATCATTAAATAAACCTTTAAAAACAGATCCAGAAACAACAAGCAACGAGTCCAAGCTAAAATTACCCACTGTTCAAAAAAAACCTTCAAAGTCTATTCCAATAACCGTTAGGGCTCATTCTAAATGAAGCTACAATTAATTTTTTTTAGTTATAATTCTGAATTTTTAATGGAAATTGCTTTATAATTTGTTTGCATTAACATGTGAAATAGTTGGCATTTTTTGTTAAGACGAAATTTCGAGCGTCAATACTCGCTCGTACATAATTGACAAATTGTGGTTAATATTTTTGAAATTTTCACTTATCAATCCTGAATTATTTCCCATGGAATGTAGTAATAGAAATCTTAAATTAACTTATATCGTAACAAGTATCGTAATTTGGCCGTAAAATGGAAATCGGCATGTCCGATTCGATCGCCAGCCCTTTCTCCGCAACCAACAGGACTTTGAAAGCACCCAACGAATTTCGCGCTCCGACTTCCGATTCCCAAAAAATTCTATCCTTTTCATCATAATTTCACCTTATTATCACCAGTAATTAAAAACACTTGAAATCAGTCAATGTAATTTTTTTCTAAGTAAAATTACTTTCTTTTTATGTTTTAAAACATACTGGAAAAAAATTGTCAACTTTTGGATCATAATTTCACCTTTTCATCACTACTGAAGAGAAAATACTTTGAATAACACTTAAAATCAGCCAATGTAATTGTTTTTCGTAGTAAAATTATTATACTTTTATGTTTTAAAATCAACTGAAAAAAATTATGTAATTTTATTGCATTAATTAGCATTTATTTTCTGTCAGATAATAATAAAGATAATAGCTAAAATAAAATAATAGATAATAATAAAGACTCATAAAGACTAAACATTCATTTTCCAAAAAACACCATCTTAAAAAAATTTCAGAAATTTTTTTTTTCTAAATTAACATTTTCTGGAGTCGGAGGAAAAATCAGACTCCAGCCAAAATCTCCGACTCTCTACGCTGGAAACTGCTTTGTACTGTTGCAAATATGCTGACGAACGTAACAACAAAAAATTTATTTTACGACTGATAAATGTTGTTTTTAGTGGGGTGAACAATTATTAAATAATCTGAAATGTGCCATTTAAATGGATATGCTACATACAACAAGTCTAGTAAGAATAGACTAATAGTTTTAGAAGTCGATGAAAAACACCTTTTACTTGACGTTAGATATCAGCGCAACGCCCCTGCCGATCCAATGATTGGCCGTTTTGTGGGAATTTAATTTCATGTAGAAAATAAGTGTGGAATCGGTCCTGTCTGTTTTCTTGTACACGGGGCATTCGTAAACATACACTTTGATTTCTTTAGATTCCATCTCCGAAATTTTATTTGTGGTGCTTTCAGTTATGGTGGCTGACATATGGACTACAGGTAACAACTGATGAATTATTTTTGGACTACTTTCTACCAACTTGGAATGTTTCTTGTCCCATCCAGCTCCTTCCAGATAAAGGCCATGAATATAAACTCCTGTTGAGGGGACAGAGTATAATAGTAGGGAGGAGGACAGCAAAACAATTTTTGCTCCTCCCAAAACCTCACCAGCAACCACTATGCTAGATTCATTTGTATAATAGTGTAGATGATATTTTGACCGATGGTCGCTTTGTATGGGTTGGATTAACTGCTGGATGCAAGCCATTTCGTAAAATGGTTGACCCAATTTTAATTTTATTGTGAAAACCGCTCAATCTATTAATTGAGTTTGGTGTCAAACTATATTTTTTTAAGATCAAAGAATTCGATAATATTTTTTTTTTATAAATACAAACCAACTTTCATTTTTAAAAATTGGGACTTATATTTGGTGTAAAATTATTTGTATTTAAATAATAATTCGTCATTCAAAATAAGCGATTATATTTTTATTATTCAAACAAAAACAACATACATTTGAGCATTTTATTTATTTTCCTTTTTTATAATATAAAGGGTTAATGATAATGCGCCTCAGTCGCTTGCCATGGCACTATATAAAACGACATTATTATCATTTCCCACTAAAAACAAAGTATAAAATGTATTACAAATGTTTTTTAATAAAGTAAAATAAGTCACAATCCTTCATCTACATCCAGAGCATCCAGGTTTTTGAATATGTTTTTACAATGCTGAAGAGAACAACCACACACTTTGAGATACGATGGTTTGTTTACTGTACACACACAGTTAGATTGAGCGCAATCTGTCGTACAGCCGCATTGCACGATTTGCTTGTATGTAGGTGAAGATGATTCTTTTTCCATTAACTTTTGTTAATCCACTATTATCATCCTACCACCTACAATCTAGTAAATCAGGCAACAACGGTTTAGACTCCAAAGCGTTTCTCCACACAAATGCTTGATGATGGGCACGTTTAATGTGTGGTTTCAAGGAATCGAACGTAGGAGGAAGCATTTCTGGCTTTTTCTTTCCAAACTGATTGATTTGATGTTTTTGCATTATTCGAGTAAATGTTTATAACAAACTTTTCAGCTGATTTAATTATACTATCCGATAATATTTCTGCTAGCAATTCAAGATTTTTTATAAAATTCCCATGCAGTTTTCTTGCTAATACCATTTGGTTGACTGGTTGTGTCACATCCAGTTATTGAGTGAAATCCAATGAGAGATTGTCGTACATCTATTGGCATGCTGGAAAATATTGTATGTACAGGAACGAATATTTTTTGTGATGAAGTTCCTTCTGATATCCATACTTCATCTGCATGACTTTCGTGACACAGATTTACTAACATAACTAACACATCTTTATCTTTGCACTGCACAACAGTTCGGCTATATCCGTTATTAGTTGCATCTTTTGCATGAAGCAAAATTCCTGTATTTGCTTCTTTATGATTTGCAAATAATAAATTCGACAAAACGCCAGATGCGGAAATAGCTTTAGTAGACTGGTCAAAACCCCCTGCTGCCACTATCACATGGTTTAGATCTATTTTTAGATATATTGATTTCTTAGTTTGTGTCAATTATAAGCTATTATTATTATTATTGTGCTCGAGACGTTTCAACATATCCCAGTTATTCACATGTCTATAAGACATCCGTAAGTAAAAACATTGTTTAACACGATTTACATCATCTTTACCACCATTGGTTAAACTTTCATTAGATTCAACTTGAAAAAATAAACATACATTTCACTACGTTATCTCAAACTCTTTACGTTTAACTGGCAACAGGTGTCAAAGCTAGATCCATTTTAGATGTTTAACAGCTATTAAAATTTCAAAATGTTGTCATCATTAATTTGTAATTTAAGAAAATTAGTACATTAAATGAAATCTTATTATAAACTCAAAACGACTTTACCTTGATGACAAATCAAATACAGTACCTAAATTAAAATTTAAGATTAATTTAATATAATATTTTAACAACGGTTCGTTCAGTAGACTAAACGAAGAATTAATTTATACAAAAAAAATTTTTTACAAATAGATTTAAATTTATAAAGCCAAGAAAAAAAATTATAAACGTATGTTTATTAAGTTTATGCACCGTTTTTATTATTATTATATATATATATATCCATGGCATGGTATGACTCGTAAAGTGAAACGCTTAAAAATTTTGAAAAATGGAATGTGGATTTAATTTATAAATATATTAACGACATTTTTGAATTCTTTGACCTCAAACACATAATTTGACACCAAACTCAATATATAAAGTTGCGCGGTTTTCAAAGTAAAATTAAATGAAAAATTGGATCCGCCATTTTACGAAATGGCTTCCAGAAGTTAGTCCCACACATACAAAGCGACCACCGGTCAAAATATCATCTACACCAGCGGTTCTCAACCTGCGGTCCGCGGACATTTGCCTGGTGGTCCGCGAGCAAAGTGTGAAGTGCAAGTTTTTTTAAAATAAAAATATGAAAATGATGAACTCCGATTGTTTAATAGTTATACTAAGAACTATGTTATGCTAACTATGTGTAACTGTTACGTCATTATATGAAATAATAATTATTTTTTTTTATTTTTTTTCCCCGTCTTAGTGCTTCAATGTGGTTTGTTTAGATTTACATGCCCTGTAATAGATGGCTCTTTGGATGTATAACTAAGAATTCAAAATAAGCAAAATAAATTGATGCAAATTGAGTGTATTGAAATATTAATAAACAAATAAAATAGATAAATAAAAGTTTAAAAAATATATGTATAAAATATATGTATTTAAGTATGTATATATATCCAATCATGACTTAAATATGGCAAAACATAGCACCATTATGGGAGCTGCAATGCCGTTAAATTATGAATAAAAAAAAAAAAAAAAAAGAAATAATAATTATATATATATAAATTTCAAGTGCGCTAGTATACAAATTTTCAGTAGTGGTCCGCGGTTGAGACACACAGTTTTCAGTAATCCTTGGATCTCAAAAGGTTGAGAAGCGCTGATCTACACTACTATACTAATGAATCTATAGCATAGTGATTGCTGGTTAGTTTTTGGGGTGAGCGAACATTGTAATTTTGCGTGTTTTACTGAATGTGCCTCCCTAAACACAAAAAAACATAATATTATTATTTAAAAAATATTTTCACATAGCACGCTTTATAATAATTTTTAATAATTGGCTATCATTCATCTATATTTTTCATACTAATATCAAGAATAAACCCCAAAAAAGATTTTAATTTTAGTGTAGATGATGAACCGATAAATTATTTTTGAACGTTAACAAATGAGAAAACAGACGTTATTTAAAAAAATCCAACCTTCGTTGGGTACCATAGAAACATCTTCTTTGAATACCTTGCTGACTTCACAAACAATAGAAACATTATCAAGTGACCAGCCACTGTGTTTTCTCGCAATTTCCTGCAAGGTGGCAGTAAGAAATCCCTGTGGATTGAAAAAACCACCCAACCAATAGGATTTAATATCATTTTTGGTTAGCCAGTTCTTTATCTGTTCATCTCGTTCCACTAACTCACTCAACCAGAAGCCAAGGGTGGGAGAGCTCCACGATATCTTGTGATTCACATAATAATCAAACAAGATAATGGTAATAAGCATTAAAACGAAAAACTAAAAATCCAACGCATTCAAATTTACCTTGACCCATCCATGAGGAACAATAGCGTCGTAGAGACTGTCCAATATGTTTTGCAATTCATCTGACATGCATATACTTCCTTCAATGGCAAGCTGCAAATTGTTGAGCGTGACGTGGATTGATGAAAGCAACTTTTTCATCCTCATCACTTCTTGCTTCAAAAATATTGTCATCGGTTGAATGACACCCAACTTTTGCAGTTGTTCTGACAACTGATGTTACGTTAAAATGTTTCTGGTCTTAATTGTTAACTCATTTCTGTTGTTTCTTATTTGTTAAGTGATAAAGTTTTTACAAAAAATGGTAACATTAATTAATTTTTTTTAGCTAATAAATAGTATTTAAATCTAATTAGCGAAAATCAACGCAGAAAGTCAGAAACGAACTACAATATTGAAATATTCTTTTTTAAAGCGCAAATGTTTGCTATAAGATGTCACCAACCAGGTGTTCATTATATTCTTCTGGCATTTTCTTTAACATGCTATCTACTAGCTCCTTAACTGTATTCTCTCTTGACTCCACTTCTTTGCCTCCTTCATCTTTTTTTCCAGCACTGCTACTCGTTGACACCGTTTTAGGTTGAATATTGAGTATGCATGACAGCATGGATCCCGCAGTATTTGATTGATACCTGACAAACAAGTAAACTGCTAATGATGGATGGGTCTTGATGTAGAAATTTATTTCTATTTAAGATTTGCGTATGCGTTATTTTCCTCTATTTTTGAATAATGAGCAAGATAGCAGTAATAACTAACAAAAGATCAGCGTTTCCATGGAGACCAAATACTTCCGGCCTGTCAACTGATGGAAGATTGTCTATATAAGCTCTGTATTCGCTCATTGTTTTGAAACTTGGTAATTTGTAACCTTAAAAAAATTAAATACTTGTTAACCAGCTGTCAAAAAACTTAGTTAAAATAGTTGAAATAACATTTAGTGAGCCTTTTAAACAATACCAGCTGCCGATCATCACATGATCATCGTCTTTTCATTGCCTCATGCATAATGCATTCATGAAGTTGAAAAATAAACAAATGTACCATTAAAATACTGGAATGATTTATCCATGATGTGCTCGCCAAACCAAGTTTGCATGTAGGAGTTTAGCAGTCGGTTGTCACAATTGTCAGTTACCCTCCCGCCATATTGAATTTCTCCTAACATGTATCTGATGCTGTTCCACGATACTCCCTGACGTTTGGAAATCACGAAATGATGATATAAAAATTTATTTGGTTTGATTAGTTAATAAAAAATCTGAATAATAAGATTTTATCTTTATTTTTCACCAAAACTGTAGTTGACAAATATTAAATTTGTTTTTCGGGTCTTAATTGATTCGTAAGACAGAATAAAATTTTACAAAAAAAAATTTATCTATTGATTCGGTTCATTAATATATTTCATCAACAATGGAAGATAAAAAACCGATTACTTTTCTGAGATCAGCATCTTCAAAATAATTGAGCAGGTACATCGCGGACGACGTGAAGTCAGCCATGTTAAATTCATACGGAATATTCCAACCTATGGCTCCAAACTTTTTTCTTTCTTGAATAACTGTATGCAAAAAAGCCAGGTTGTACAGCAAGGGTTTCCACTGTGGAGCATTATGGGTATCAAAAAGATCTTTTGTCACGGCGCTGTATGTCTGCCTCAAACAAGCCTTCAAACCTTTCATGTTTAACATTTAATATAAACGAATATATAAACTATAAATATATTTATTGAAAAATAAACCATAAGCTGGTTCAACAGTGTATTTGATAGAAATCTGGAGCAAATTAATTGGGAATTTTTCATGAACTTCAGTCGTCAACCATAACCTGTAGGTATTTGCATAAAGTTTCAGTAACTATGGGAAATTAAACAATTATGATTATATATATACGCACACGCGCGCACTTAACTGTGTGTATAAATTGCTAAGATATAATAAGCTATTTGAGATATACCTAAAATTGCGGTTGATATTGAGTGAAGAAGCTGCTTGACTTTCGTTAAAGAAGACGAAAAGTTCATTCATGTAACCAAGTCCCAGGTGACAGTTTTGCAAGACGACCCAACTTCCATTTATTAGACTGTTTGTAATGAGCTTGTGAGCATGCGTTTCTTGCCCCTGACCCATCGACATCACCGAGCATTCTATAACATCAGTTCATAATTTAACAATTTAACACAATGCTGGTTAAAAAGGTTATCTTTATAAACATGCACACATACGCAGGCACGCACACACACACACACACACACACACGAATAAAAATAATATTTACATGAAATTAAGATATTTCTAAGGTTGACCTTCTCCAGTAAAAATGTTTTGTGAATGGTTAAAGTTATTTTCAAAAATACTATTTTGATCAACTTCAGTCATAAAATAAACGCAAGAGAAATAAAAGCATGTCATTTGGAGCAGCGCATCAATTTAATGTTTTTCTAAAAGTTTTGAAAAAATGCAAAATTAAAAATTACCGATATTTTTTGACTTTGCCAGTTTTTCAATAGTTTCGGTAGGATCAGAGCCGAGAGACAACAAGCAAACAAGTGGAGAAAGTGGTGTGGCCTCTTGGGACATTAGTTCAAAATCAACTGCAACACCATCTACATACTGTATTTTATCACAAATTCGTTTACAATTCATCTTTATTTTTGATTCAAAAATGTATAAAAAAACGTTTAAAAAATGTTTACAAAACACAAAATTACCTGTTTTCCTAAGACTTCAGAGACGTAAATTTTTGCCATGTTGACTGCTCGGTCGGGACACCAACACCTGATCAACAGCAGCTTGTTAAACGTTGACAGTTTTTGTAGATTCTCTTCCGGAAATGGGACATCTTCTGGTTCAGCAGATTCATACCAATCCCTCCAAGCCTTGCACGTTTATAATTTACAAAACAATTCAACATTAAGACGATATTCGTAACTCAATTAATAGATTCTACAGATTAAAACTATTTTTGAAAACTTTCGAAAATTTACTTCAATTACCTTGTCATTATTGGCTACTTGCATTGTTAAACTGTTGAAGAATCTAAGTCTACTCAGTTCAACCAGATTCAACCAAGTGACATCGCTTATCCACTTTTTTGGTTTTGCCTGCACAGTGTTCAAGTCAAGTGCAGCTCCACCTTTGAAAATTGACAACAAATAAATGCATCTTCGGGTAATACAATGAAACAAAAATTAATTGGCTCTACTGGATACTGGACTTTATGTAAGTGTTGGATTTTCCATAAATATATTTAAATGAGCAATTTTATAACTTTGTAATGTACAGCCATTCGTAATACCATAGTGATTTTAAAAACTTATTTTTAAAATGTTTAATTATAGACTATTCCAGAATGAGATTTGAAAAAAGTTGGCAGAAGTTAAAAAATAAAAGAACCAAAATTAGCACCGTCCAGCTGAATAAATATGCATGCAGCAGGTTGAGCAACTTTTGCAGCAGCGCCAAAGAGTACAAAAAACGAAATATCATTATTTTGGTCTTTGTAACAAGAACAATGACGATGAAGTTATTAAAAAAGAACAAGCTTACCTTTGATGAACACATGAAATAATTCATGTGGAACACTTCCATCTTGAAGTCCAATTTTAAGTGCCAACAGGAGTGAGAAAAGAAACTTATCCTTTTCATAGAGGCCTCTTGTGATGTACGTGAATGAAGACAACGTAAGCGCGGAAACTATGCTGCCTACTCGTTTCGATACGACCAATGATTTTGCCGCACATTTCATTGACGAATAGAACAACTGTTGTGATTAATGAAAAAAACATGCATATCATTCATGACGGTCAAGAAGCCTGTAATAATGTTATGGATATGGGTGATTCTAGTGGAAAATGATTTTGCGTATGAATTCTTTTGCAATTTCAAAAGCTGACACATTCATCACGTTTTATTATAAAATATCTTTCCACCTGCAAAATCTAATATGTTAGAGAGCAGGTTATTTTCAACACGCTCTATTTTTATGTATTTCAAATTTTATCTGTTATATTGGAACTGACAGGTTTTAACAATACTAACACTCCAGTATTAACAATCGTTTCGATAATCGACTTCCAGAAAAACAGGATTTATTCGCAATATCAGTTTGATTTAACCCGTTTGTTCTTTAATTTTTATCCTAATATTTTTAAAGAAAGAAGACAAACAAAATGTTTTGTATTGTAAAGTAGAGTTCTGATCAAAATAAAGCATGCAACTGATATTTAAAATTGTAAAGCTTAACATTTTCACAGAACGTGTAGTGCAAAACATAACAATAAAGACAGCAATACCTGAAGGAACTGATTGAGAGATGTTTGATACATGCAGTTCACCAGACTCATCTCAACAATTAGGAAATACGTTATCGATCCTCGACTGGCCACTTAATAAAAATTAAAATAATAATTAACTGTTGATGATTTGATCAGTTATTATTTATATATTTTATTGTGTCATCGCCTTTATATCATCTTCAACGTAACATCATCCATCGTTTTACTAATAAACCATCGCCACCATAATTCTTCTCATCATCATCGTTACCCTCATACAAACCTGGTCTATATTCTTCTCTGGCTTGGTTTATTCTCAACTCGGTTGCAGCAGCAATTGTTAATTTGTTGTTAATTTCTTTGGCGGTGAGCTTTGTGACCTTGAGAACTTCAATAAGTGAATCATCTTCGACCAGTGAGGTTTGAGTACATGCCAATCTTTGCAGGAGGTCATCTTCCAACTGCTTTATCTTTTGATTGTTCTGCCATATTTCTTCGTGCAGTTTCAGACGCTCAGATTCCAATTCCTAACGTTTTAAGTTGAATGTGCATCATTTACATTGAAATGATCAACAACTTTTGAATCATTGAACATCTTGAATGGCTTGATGTATTTCGAGACATCAGTAAAAATTCAAAATATTGTTGCGTTTGTATTTTTCATACAGTCTCAATGATATACAAAATAATTTCATCGAAATAAATCAATATTGGACCTTTTTTTCTGTAAGGATAACAAGCCCTAGGAGTTGATCTTCTAAACCTTTGGAAGTAACGGTGAAGTCGATGAGACTTGTTTTCGCTTGCACTTCAGGAGTGAAAGAAGGGTTGGAATGTTTCGTGGCTATGTACATTTTGAAACCATCAATAACATCCACTTCTTTGTCGCTTATTTTCACCTTGAAAGAATAAAACTTTCACGTTGTTAAAATGTTGGGTTAATGCATTAGAAATATAATAACTTTCATGATAGATCCAAGTTTGAAAAAGTTGTGATCGAGGACATTATCTATGACGGGATCAATGTCTACACTAGCGTCTTCGATCAGCAGAGGTCTTCCTTGGGTCAGTGCGGTCTCCAAGTGCGTCCTGAAGTGCTTCTCACTGAAGGTGCTCACCTGCATGCAGTCAGTACACAAGACGCATGTCAAATCTCAAATTTTACATTTGTTTAATAAAGTCATTAAAGTTATTGCAATTAAAGTTTTTAATTGCAAAAGGATGCCAACGAGAGCTTTCGCTTAACTCGATGAAATAATATTTTCGACCAATAATTACGCTGCGATATGATAATCCTCTTGGCTTTTTCAATAAAACAAATATTAATTGTGAGAAAAAATGTTCTCAACAACAAATTGAAAAATATGCAAAACAAACAATAAGCTGGTTTGCAGCTTCTTTCTTGCAGATCCACGTTCGGCCCTGTTCTTGGGGATCGATGAGGAGGGGGTACCTTCCGGCTGATGATACAATCAATCCGTTTTGAATTGAAAGTTCATCATTTGGGAGACCTTGTGAGGTCCACTCCGACACCAACAATTTGTCAGCCAGCATTGTCGTCACGTTGAAGTCCTACAAAGTTTTACAGAATGTGAACTGAATTAGATGAAACTACCCTCAACATAAAAAGCATTCATCTATTTTTATAACTTTCATAACATATAACATTCAGAACAACAACGATAACAATACCAACATCAGAAAGAGGTATGTTATATGAAAGTAATTTGTTTTTCCACTTCCTCAACATGTCACTCCTGTACTGCTGGTTGAAGGGACCTGCATATGATAAGAAGCCAGCAGCGAGCAGCACATCTCCAACCAGCTGCCCAATCTGTCTCTTGAAGGTGCAACTCGATTCAACCCACCTCTCTTTCTCGCCTGCCAAACTCTCAATCAGTATCTTTGCATTGTTCATCTTTTTTTTGCACGATGTTGCATCATCTAACAACGCCTATCAACGTTTTTATTTAATGAAAATTTGTAAATAAAATTATTTTAAATGTTAATTATGAAATTAAGACTTTAAAAAATGATCAAACTCAATGTTTGCTTTTTAAGACATCATGATTAAATGCGAGCAAACAATTGAGCTTACCACGATTTATTTTTTAACTCATTATTCTCGCTGTTAACAAAACAAATATGAAAACACTTTTATTGGAATTACAAAGAACTGTTCCTGAAAACACTTTTATTGGAATTACAAACAACTGTTCCCGACATAAACAAAAATAATAACAAATTTAAAACTAATATGACAGAAAATTGCATATCAACCTTCTTTTTTTTGATTGCTTGATTGTGAAGAGCCTGTGCTTTATCCAGTTCCAACTGTTTCTCATCCAACTCTGCCCGAGCTTTGTCAAGATCTTTGATGGCTAGCTGGTGCTTCGCTTGATGCACAGCCAGGTTGGCTTTCAGAGGCAAAACTTCTTTATTGATGACGTAAAATTCCGCCATGGCTTTTGTCCATGAAGCTAAACCTGCCACGTCGCCACAAACTTTTGTAGCGGTTTCGATGTTGTAATCAGGCATGTTCAGGTATGGCTGAAGCAGTTCAACCGTTTCTTCATTTATCGTGTCCTAGCCACAAATTGATATCACTTCAATATAATAGACATAACATGTCTGGTACGGCATGTTATGTTACTTTAAACTTAGCAAAATTAAAACAAATAAAACATTCAGCTATGAGATTTTATTCACCTTTGGAAAGTTAGTAAGTCCTTGAAGAAAATTAGCTTGAGCCATGAGTTTGAGTGCTTCGTTCCAGGAAGGCTCAGGACATAATCTTTCCATGTTAATGCTGACGGGAAGGATCGGGAGTCGAAATAGTAGGAGAACGCAGTCCATTATCCTCATAATTAAGTTAGGTGGCCGACCTAGTCTTCGAACTTGAATATGAAAAAATAATTCGGCTCATAACATTTTACTGCATGTATATTTTATACACTTGCACTATGAGTATTTTTAATAAATATTTTAATCTTTATTATTAATGTGTCTAAGCTTCTAAAAGTTGTGTAGTAACCTGAAGCAATGTGCGAATAATGAATTGTTCTTAATGCTGCCTCTGCTGCTTCAAGAGCTGGTTTAGCAGCTTCCAGTTTTAGTTCTGCCTTCGCTTTGTCGATCTGTAATTGCAAAAAAGATACACAAGTGGTACAACACAAACTGTAGATGAAAATATGAACAAAAATTACTCCGCACATTTATGTCATTGACTATCTTTTGAGCCTTCTCCATGACCGCGAGAACTTGACCTTTGACCTGCTCGGCTGCTTGTGCTCTGGTTTGAACATCGTGCATGACCTTGTCTGCTTCTTCTGTTGCAACAACCAGTTCTTTTTCTTTCATCTTCAACTCTTCTGACAATTGATTCACGGATTCACTGGCTTCTTCTAACTTTTCTAATCCTAAAAATTTTGAAAAAATATTAAACTGTAGCTTATAAAATTATCTGATCTCGCAACTGTGAAATCGATTAAAGAAATCTGACGCCGTAGAATGACATGAACATTTTTACAAACAAACCTGTTTGCATTCTATCAAGCAGTTGATTGGAGTTTTTAAACCTTTCACTGTAGAGAGTTTTGTAGGTCTTGAGGAAGTTGAGAAAAGACTTGGGAGTGACGTGGCACGAACGTCGGTAGCACTCAAAATATTCCAAGCAGATCTGAGCAACTGAATCCTTCACAGAATTTCGTGGAGGAAGCAGGCAACATCGAGTTTTAAATTAAATAGTGAACAACAAATGCCTACTACACCGATTGTAAATAGATATAAACAATAAATAAAGAATAAGTCTTTAATATTTAGAAATAATTTTATAAATTCTAACAGAAACTTTGTTTGCTATTTATATTCATATTAAAATATTTCAAAAGGTCTGTGAAATGATTTCTAATAGTTGTAAATAAAATCCTTGTAGAAATTTTAAATTTCAATAAATTTGTTTAGCCTTTTAACAGATACAACAAGCAGAATGAATGAATGAATATATCTCAAGAAATAAACAAGGGAAGTTCTCACGTGCACGACTGCCATCAGGCATGTTGCCGAATGTTTGATTTCCTCAGCAGCAACAATGTTGAAAGTAGAAAGGTGGTGATGGGCAACACTGAGTAGAGCATCAGTAGGCCATCTTTCGAACCAATCCATCGTGCAACCCGATATCAAACTCGGAAACTTCATCGATCGACTGCGAAACTTTTCTCCAACCTAAACCAAAAAATAGTGTATACTATCATAAGATTTTGCATTTAAGAAAAATTATTGACAAAACTAAGCAAACCAACAGGAGAGAAACACAGGACGATGTGAAGATTTTTGTTGACGTTCGATAAGAAATATTCATAAAGGTTCTCATTTGTGGTCGGTTGTTTTGGGTGGTACTTTTTGAAAAGGGGAAGAATATTTTGTTGTATCTCATCTTTCTCTTCCCTCGTGAACAAGACTGGTATCTGTTGAGTTTCAGTTGGTTTAACCGGTCAACATTTACGAAATTGTATTAAGCGATGTATTATGTATTTTAGTCAAACACAAATTCAAAGTAACGATAAATAAAGTGCAATTACTATCGAACACAGAAAAATAAACTTGATATGTATTAACAAAACTATATTCTAAACAATTCCGTTTTAAATTGATGCAAAAATCAATCACGATAAGACATTTTGTAACAAAATAGTAAATTTTAAAACTGCTGCTTGACATTTTTATCATGTGATCTATGATGATTGAGCTGCTTCAGCAAAATATTTTTCCTCATTTTAAATATTCTTTCAATATTGTGAATATTTTTTCAATATTGTTTCAAAATTTTGAATATTCTTTCAATACTCTGGTGATTCTTTCAATAGCGGTACTTTTGAAAATCTTTGAATTGTTGTCATCACATCAAAAGTATGGAGATCCAAAGTTAATTATTTTGTCATTTATTTGTCATTTAATTAATATCAGATTTCACACTGTATAATTTAAAATTACAAAGAAACAAATTGTAAAAATCTCATGAAACTGCATGCTACTAACTTCTCCTGGGCCCATAATGTCGTTAAAATATTCAAGGAATGTTTCGTCTTTGATTTCGCTGTCGGTTACCATAAAGCAGACACTTTTATCCTGCAATCCTGCCATCTTATGAATTGTCTTAAAATCATCCAGCAAGTTATTCACATTGTACGACCTGTTTGTTAGTTTGAGGGGCTTTCAATTTCCTACAAAGTTCAAGTTTTCATTTCATTTGAAATACAGTTTTAAAATAAGTTGAAACATCAAATCATATTTAAATAGTTATAACTTTTTTCATATCTAATTAGTTTTAGGATAAATAAAAATTAGATTAAAATAGACAAAAAATAATTTCGAATTGAAACAATTTTGTAAAAGTTAATAATAGATTAAGCTGGTAAGCTTACTTTGTCAAACTGATTTGGAAGAGATTGTATCCGGCAATGAAAGTGGCCAGCTTGGTTAAGGATCGTTTGCCCGACCCACCTACCCCCACCAACAGGGCATGTCCTCTCACTAAACCGATTATGCGTAAAATCCTGACCACGTGCTCCACTGCATTCTTATTTATTTTATTTGCTTATATGTGAATCCGTTTTTGCAGGATATTGTGTAATGGAAATAAATTTCATTAATTCAATTAAAATCCGCTTGTGCCAATTATCAAAAACTTAATTTCGTAAATAAAAACGTAGGTTTAAATTTTTTGACGAAATTCATTTGAGATTGATCAAAACAGTGACAACTATTGATAAAAGTTAGATTTCATTCAATGTTTTTAAACAGTCAATAAAATTTTCGCTTAGGAAAACTAAAGTAAGATATGTGTGTGCAGATTACTTTGAAGAAAACTAAGTTGATGTGTGAGCCTCTGATCAATTCATTGTACTGTTGATGATAAGAAGTCAGTTTGCTTTGTAATTCGTCAATAGATTCAACTGGCTCATATATTTTTCCTTCATTATTTTCAACACTTTCATCTGCATCAATTGTTGAATAATGAACACAATTATTATCTATTTTTGAAGAAAAGACACATCTTGGTACCTGTTTCTCTCATAAAGTTTGTAAAATAAACATCATTCGATGCTTCGGAAGCATCCAAGAGATCTGTTGCTTCCAACGACTACAAAAATTATTTTCTTTAGTTAATGAATGCAAAAATACAAATTTTATTTCACTCAATTCATTTTTTTAATTAATGTGTGCAAAGTTACAAATTCTATTTCACTCAACTAAAAACTCAAAAAAAAAGATTTAAACATTTAATGTGGCACCGAAAACAGCAGCTTACTTTTTGCATGATATTGACAAAAAGCTGCTTGTCCTTGTCATTTGTGAACCGATCGCATATGACTCTCGTGCACTCGTGTTGCCACAAACTTAGCAAATCTTTCTTGCCTCTGATGACTCGTGCCTTCGACCTCAACATGCCCTGTGACGTTTTATGCCTTTTATATTGCCATTAATATCGAAGTTTCATTTCAATAAAGAAGATTTTCTTTAAACTAAAATTAAAAAAATGTATATTAAGCGCTTTAGCGTAACAAGCCTAGTCACCTGCCAAATTCTACTGAGGTCTCTCAAATTGAATACATAATGGAATTTAGCTGGTGTGGCGAGGTAGCTGCCTTTCACTTCCTGCCATAACTTTCTTGTTACCGGTACCAGATCAGCAATTAATTCACGTACCTCATCGGCAAATCCATTTTTCTAAAAAGTTATGTAATCATATTAATTAATTTCTGTAATTGGTTAATCATATTTAAAATATTTTATAAACACTTGAATAAATGAAATAAAAATATTCCAAAAAATTGTAAAAAGCCTTACTCAACATTGCAATCGCTTCAATTTCGTATGACAAACCTTGCAAAAATATCCTGAAGCAATAGTTGAAAATATTTTATCTATGGAAGTTTGTGATGGGAGGGTGCAGTTGAAAATACTGAAGTGGCGTTTAAGTCTCTGAGGGATATCATTTCTGCCGCCAGATGGCTGGCACATGCAGGCCAACACCTGCAGATCCACTATCCTTATAAACTCACCCAACCTATCCAAACTGTACAAACCACTAGATTCAAGGAGCTGCCTCGTCGTTTCGTTCGTAACCTCGAAAGTTATGAAAAGTTTGAATGAAAAACGACCACCGAGTAACACACAACTAACAACAAATTTAGAAACTAACTTGGTCACCCCAGACATTTACGAGCGGCATGTTGATGTCGTCAATGAAGAGAGTCATCTTCTTACCAGCTGGCGGTCCATGCGTCGCACCCATCCGCTTCTCCATGAAGCTCTCCAAAGATTTCTACGGTAATTCATTCATGAAATGTCTCTTGGAAGTAATAACATGAATGCAAATCATGAGTCCCTGTAGTCGCTTGCACGTAGAAAATAATTTAAACAAGAGCCAAATGAATGTTAACCTGAAAGGAGTGGGGCGTTGTGGTGCACGAAAAGTTGATATTTTTAAATAATCTCTTCTCCGGATCAAAACCCGCACAATAATTTCTAATGACGGATGTCTTGGCTGAGCCTTGTTCTCCAATCAACAGGACTGCTTTCTCCTGGGAAGCAATGAGATTGATGAGATATTGGATGCAAGTGCTGTTGGCATTCGGCACTATCAAATTCGTGAAATCAAACGCAGGTGATGATGGGAAGCAAAAATATGGAACCTGAAGAAATATTATCAAAACTATTAAATGCATAGGCATTCAAGCAGCCGTATTACTTATCTGATACATATAGACGGACGCGCGCACATATCATAATTATATAAGTTGAATGGCTAAAGCAAATTATCATTACCAGATGATTCCAATGTTTCCAATGACCCTGATCATCAACGAACCAATCGAAAATACTGCTGCTCTCATCATCACCGTCACCAGGTGCAACAGGAAACGAGAGATGTTCTTTTAATGACTCTTTCATGTATGCTTCAAGCTGTAATTTTTGAATGAAAGAGAGATAAATAAATTCACATCATCTATAGAATCACTGAAGTTTAAAACAAAGTTCGTATTTCTGGACACTTTAAAAAAAATCAGCGCACGAAGCTTACAACGTCACCACCCTGTACAAATACGGTTAAAGTTTGATTTGGCTATATTATAAGCCTGCACTCTTTTGTCCTTTTCCTTTTTTTCACAATGAATTTTTCATTTTTCTGCGCTAGGTCTAAATCACTTTTTAAATTTTCAACAATAAATTTCTACATTACGTCGTCAATAAAAAATATTTTAAATCGACCGTAAACTTTCCCCAATCAAAAGAACACAATATCAGTTTCAAACTGTCAGCAGTTTTACTACCGTTTCAATCCAGTTCAGAACTGAAAACTCTACGATACATTATTTGTCCACTCACTCATGTTATATAATAAAGAAATTGACACTAATATCGGAGCTACAATTAAAACATTCAACATAAACTAAATACGTAATTATAATCGACCTTGTTACGGTCATCAAACTCCAGCAGAGATCCCAGTGACCAAACAAATGCGAAGGTCACAAGCTTTTTCAAAATCATCTCATTGTTTGAAAATTGTTCAGTAACATCGGTGAGCAGGCCAGTAATTATGTTGATTGCTTGGGCTATGTACATGCATTCTAAAACCTAAAAAAATATTAATGGCAAAATCTAGCTTATGAAATTGTAATAAACTTTCAGTCCTCAGTCACCATCACCAACGCCATCATTATTTTCATATCAAAGTTTTTATTTTGAAATGATGGGCAGCCTACCTGAAGTTTTTCGTTCAGTTGCCAATGAACATACTTGTAGATATCATCCCAACATACTTCAAACAACGGCAACAACCTTTTTTTAAGTAGTGGTTTGTTTTTCAACCAACCTAACAACAAAAGATATTAAGACGGAGTTAACTAAGAACATAATTTATCATTAAAATTAAAAATTTTTCAATATTATTCAACAAAACTGTTGATGTCAGTTGATCCACGGGTTGCAAACCTTCAAGTATGATACGCCACTGCATGACAGCAGAACTCATGTAGACCATGCCATTCCTGGACACTGTGGCTGGTGAAGCATTCTCTAAGTGCTGCACTTCAAATATTATCTTACATGTTGCTGACATGGAGATTCTATCACCGTTGGCTAATGTCAATGTTTTATTGTCGTCAAGAACCGAATTCAAATTCTCTATCCAAATTGCGTCAACTGGTCCATCCAGAACTAGCCAGGTATTCTCACCCTAGCAACAAAAATTTTTGTGATTTAGTAGTTTGAAACGTCTTTAATTTTTAACTCTTAAAATCATAACTTGAAACGAGTCATTTATTTATTTTACTGTTAATTTTTATATCACCAGAAAGCAAAGTTTTTTACTTTTTTGGTCTTGTGGGTTTTGCGCCAAAGAATTGAGAAAATACCGTCTGTCCAATCATTGGTAGATGCATCCAGTCTGCCGAACATCTGAGAAGCAGTTAGTGCTTTCGGGTTCATTCGCACCTCCTTGTGTAGATTTCCGCAGTCAGTCAGAGCCGATCGAAGAGTTTGCATGCATGTCGACTTTCCAGAACCGCTAGGACCCAGTACAACAATTCCGTGACGGACATTTTGTGTTTCATATAATTGAATAATTTTTGTGGTCCAAGGTTCATGTTGCACCAGGAACGGCGACTGTTCCACCTTGTTAAGAAAATTATTTCTTCACAACAATAACAAAACTTCTCTCATAGACATAATATAGGGGATGATTATTATAAGAAAAAAACAAAACAACCAGGACAGAATCATTATCATACCACAAACAAAATACAACGCATACCAGATTTTTGACAGCATTTTCAATGATGACATGACTTCCAGATTCGCGCTGATTGACTTCAGGAAAAAGATCATTGAACAAAGAAATAAATATTGGTTCGTCTTCGTTTACCAGCTTACTCATGTTCATACTTTTGAGAACTCTCACCAATGTTACCATTTCGTTCCGCTCCTTGTCCGTTCTTCTGACAATTCCCAATGTTCTCAGTACAGATAATATATTACGAAGACCAAAGTCATAATGTACCTTTGTTTGCAAAAAAAATTAATGTTGCTCTAATCCAATGTTACAATCAGAAAAATTTGATTTTAAGCTTGTAAATCAACAATTTATTTCATGCATTATATAGATTTCTCGAGTATGCGTACATGTACAAACTTTTATAACTGTGATCCGCAAATTAAAAAAAAAAAATTGTAAAACGAGCAAATTTAAAAAATTTAAACAACACTATCATTAACTCTCTCTTTTACATTATTTAGATATCACAATTACAATAAATAAGCGTATTATACAAAAAAGAGTATTATTTATTATTTTTGATTTAAGTTGATCACGTTATGAATTTGACATTAATAACATATGCCAATGATAACAAAAAAAATTGGTCCTATCTATTAAAATTCGCTAATTAATAACTTAATTAAGGTTTTTAATCATTAATATAACTCTGTTAACGAGTTTGCCTACACTCTCAAGACCTTGCATGGTAACAAAAATTAACTAAATAGGTCAGAAAATTATTTTAAAATATGATAATGAAAATCAGTCAATAAGTTTAACTGATGAGTTGTGAAAGAAACACAGACACAGCCAAACCTGTTTACTCAGTTGTTCCTCGCATAATTTATACAGCGAAAAGAATTTCCTTGAAAGTAGTATGTTCTGCTTGAACCCGGCGCTTGCCAACTTGACTTTGATTATAATAATCCTGTCGGGCACCATCATGGACACCGTTCTAAAATTTATTTTCAAATTTTCTGGCAGTTCTTGTCTGCCTGCATAGCCAGGATTCTGATTTAAATTTAAGTTAGTTCGGATTCAACAGATAGTAAAAAATTAATCAAAAGAGCTCATTCTATAGACTTGCGTTTAACTGAATAAAAATGCCTGCCTAAATTTAACATGCAAATTTATCTTTTATAAAAACAATTTTTTTAAGATTGTCAGTCTGATCCCGAAAATCTGTATGCCTGCACCCCTTAACATGCCTGCTCGTAACAATTCCGTCTTATTAATTAAGCCTGACAGCATCTACCTTCTAAAGCATAGACGCATAAGCCAAGCAACTTTATTTGCCTGGGTCCGAAAACCCCTGTCTGTATAAAAAAAAGTCTGTCTGCTTTGTTAGTGTACTTAAGCTCGCCTATTAATGCCTTCTTTACTCAGTCTACCAAACATGACCTGAGGCCTGCATGCATCTCTGCTAATAACATCTTAGAACCGTCTGCGTGAGCCTCCACACTCAAAAAAGTTGATCATCACAAGCTTCTCTGCTTAAGCTTGCCTGCTCACTCTATCCTTAGTCTGCCTAACTAGGCCTGAAGTTCATGTCCGCCATAGCCTCCCCGACTAAGAAGCCCCGTTTATACCAGCTTTAGTCTGGCTGGCATTTTAAGTTCACCTGTTCATAGCAGCCCCAGTCCGCTTGTCTACGCTACCATGCTCACTTTGTCTAATCATTTCGCCATTATTATTTGGTCCGATACTCCAATCACAAATTTTTTCGCAAGATCCTATAACAATCTTCACCATGCTTGCTTCAGCTTTTTGGCCCACTTGTCTAAGCTGAAAACTTGAAAGTGTTTTACAAATGGAATAAATTCAAAGATGTAAAATGCCTACCATAGTGATAAAAATTCCAAACTCTGAATCCATATCGACCAGATCTCCATCTGAAAAAAGAAATTGAGATTTCTTGTCTTTCTTACAAGACAAAACGATGGATATTTGCTGAGCAGCCACTGACAATACTGGCAGTTCAATGCGATTAAATTCATCAAAACAGCCCCAAGATCCTGACTGAGCCAGTCCTGATTATACAAATAAAATCTTATAATGAATTTGTGATTTAATTTTTTTACGAACATACAAATTCTTTTTCTATTATAAAAAAAACAAACAATTGTACAAATCAATATGTGTTGAGATACTCTTAATCCACAGTGTTATCGTTTTTGTTGACAGAACCAGTCAGCATTTTCAATTGTTTCAAAAACTTTTTTACCATGTTTATTGCTCAAAGCTTAAAAAATCAATAAACTTGTTTAACACTTTGTAAACCGTTCAGTTTTCTCGTAAAATGCAAATTAAATGAATAAAAGATACACTATCTAGTATGAGCAAAAAACTAAGAGTTAATATTAGCTTTTGTAAATGTATATGAACGCTGTTTTTAGAATCAACTAATGGTTTCGTTCTAACGCATACGAATTAAAGAATTTACAATCATTGTTATGCACGTTTTGAGTGTCTCTAAACAATGACTTTCTCACAATGACGTGTGTTTATATTTCAATGATGGATGCAAAGAACAGACAGACATTATGATTTTAATGTTGAAGTGAACTAACCCTTAAATATTCTTCCGAGGCCTCGATAATCCATTTGATCGGAACAGTTGAAAACGACAACATACTTGCCCAGACATCGAGCCATGTCCTTAGTTGTTTCCGTTTTTCCAGTTCCAGCGGGACCAGTGGGAGCAGCTCCCAATGACATTTTGAGTGCTTGTGCAAGGGATATATAACATCTGGATGGTAGTTTTAAAATTTTTAAAAATTAATTATTTGTCGCAAAATTTGAAATGCCAAAAGCAGTAGTATCTACAATTAAATCGATAAAATTACACATGCAACGATAATGCCTTTAAATAATCGTTTCGTACCAACTGACCTATCAGTGAGCGGAGTTATGACTAATCTTTCGGAACATCCAAGATATTCATTCATGTATCTGAATTTGACATCAGTCAAATTTACGGCACATTCATCTTCATCGTCATGATAATAAAAACGACATTGTTTCAGCCACTCAAAATCAAATGGAGACTTCACATGTTGAGATATCTGGATAGGCGTAATTATGTTGTCATCAGGTAATAATTAATCAAACATATGCACTAATTCTCATTTCAAACATTCAATAACACATTCAAGTGGATGTATAAGCCTTCACAACGTTTCTAACTGTTAGACGAAACATTGATGGTGACTGCACTGCAATCAGAAATACATTAAAAAATAGTAAAATGAAAATTTAGAGCAAAGAATAACTACTGGAATAACAAAGTACGCCATTGATATGAATTTGGAGAATGAAAAATTGTTAAGCGAACAAATTGTTCAAGTGCTCATCTAAAATATAAATAAATAAAAAATGTTTGTTCGTTAAAAATAATATCAAAATACTGCAATGAAATGTTTTGAGAATGATATAAACATTGACATAAATTATGCAATGTTCGCCAACTTTGACCCAGTGACAAATTTAAGGTAGAAACAATACCAGACTGGAAAGAGGAACTGTTTAAATACAGAGCCAATAAAGTGTTTTATACAGACATCGACACAATGAAATCCAAACAAAAAAAAATATTTTGAAAATTTCAGTGCAGTTTTTCAAAATATCAGTCCATTTTAAACGACATTTTCAAACTTTTTAAAGATGGTAATATGGGTGGAGTGTTAAGAGGGTCCTTAAACAATCTTTGACAAGTCATAAAATGTTTGCATATCGAAAAAATGTTTTCGAACAAGAAGTGTTTTTGGTGGAAAGCCAAAAGCTCTTGAGGCTGTAAGATGTAATAACAGTCCATCCATTTGTGGTTGATGTTGGATGCTGCGACAGTTCTGGAAGATTTTGAGTTCCTTTTGTTTACCTCGATACGACCATTAAACCAGTTACCAAGTTATTTTACCATTTTGGCAACTTTTATAAATTTTCAACTTTAATTTCATAATGGTTTGATTCCTGTTTAGAAACTTAACTGTATAAATATATAATAAAAGAAAAAAAATTATGTGTAACCACCAATTCTTCGAAAACATCTTTTTGATGGACATGCACCGTGATAAAAGTTTCAAACTTTGTACGTTCTAATGCCTTCAAATCTTTTGTTGTAACTTCGATTAGTTGGTGTAGCATTTCTAAAAAATGACCATCTGCGGTCTGCATTATCTTCTTGTTGAGCTTGCAGTTGAGTAGCGCGTTCTCCGAATCGCAGGTCCATATCATTTGCAAGCACAACAAACCCACCTGCCAGGTCAAATAAATTAATATTAAAACTTTACTTTATAATGCGAGTTGAAGAATGTTACACGCTTGATAAATGCAGTGGACAGCCGATTTTAATAAATGATAAAAAGATGTTTGAAGTCAGCCATTTAAATGTAGCATGCGTGTTTTACCCTTGTAAAGTCAATGGCAACAAGGATTAAATTTTCAACTTAGAACTTCGAATAAACAGCAAAAACTACTCCGTTTAACGCATAAAATACTTTAGCGCATCATAATAAGCTGTGGGATAATGACGGATAATGACGATCGAAGTTTGCATTACCTGAGCCGGCAGCTGATGAAGAAAGTCTATGAAACTGAAGGACTCTTCGCTGATTACAGAGTGTGCTTGCTTGATGGAATTGTGTACGGTTGATCGAGTTTCTACCAATAAATCATTTAACCATGATTCCACGTGACCCTATATAGAGAAATTAATTGTTAAACGTTTAAAATTAAAAAACTTAACAAACTGTAAATAAATAAAATAAGTTAATCAATAGTGAATTAATGAAATGAATAAAAAACTGAAGCAGACCACAGCCAAGACGGGATGGGTCAGTTCAACTGTTTCACCTTCCTGAGACACCAATGATAACATCTTCTCGTATATCCTATGATCAAACGTGACTGATTTCGTATTGTCAAAAACGCTCAACAAATGCGCCTGATCGAAAGTGCAAAGTGAAGTAAACATTAAAAAATAAAATTTAAATGAAAGAAAAAAAAAATTCATCCAATTCTATTAAACGTTTTATAGTAAATTGCAAGCATTGAAATAATCTGGCAAACAAAATGTGAATTTATACATACCTGTATTGTGTGAGGGTCACTGGCCTGACCTAATATTTCTAGCAAAACTGGGTCAGACACGAAGAAGAACCTAGGAAAGAGTAACCTCTTCTTTTCTAGATAACTACTCAATGATTTTTGGCATGACTCCAGCTGGTCGCTCAGGTGAGTCAACATGATGCTGAGGCTCTCACCGGTGCTGCAACAGTCCAAGATGACATTTTGTTCGTGGGCCCTCTGCATCAATCTCTGCCAGGTCTTGTCCACGTTCAAAAACTTTCTGGTTTCCTGCAGTTATATATAATGTCACGTTTTTAGAACTCGTATTATTTGGAGCTTAGGAAACACGAATCAGTGTAAAAACTTAAATATAGAAAAATAATTAAAACATTTAGAAATTGGGCCAGATAAATTCGATTGATTGGTTGAAACAAAAAAAGGTTAATGTAATGAATTTTGATTTATGGCAAAGCATTCAACGTATTTTAGATTTGAGGGATTATATACAGATCAAAATGCATAGACGAGTTTGAAACATTTTATTTAGGTTTAATACAAAAAACATTAATCATAATATCGAGATAAAATTTTCAATTTAAAGCAGAAATTGAATGCATAAACAAAAATTTCATAAAAATTGTTTAGCCTGAGGCATTTGCTTAGCAATGTCTCCCCCAACAAACACAGCTTCCATGTATAACCACATGTTTTGAACACACATCCACTTATCAATGGTCTCCATCGTAACAGTCAATTTGGAAAGCATTTCCTGGAGGCGAGGTCTGAAGGATGAGCTGTATCTTATGAGGTATGTAAATGTAAATCATTTAGGTAAATCATGTAAATTGTAAATGTAAATCTTATGTAAATCATTTGTATAAACTCTATTTCATAGGGTATCATTATTAGTATAACCTGTGTTGTTAAGAATTTAGAGTATTTTAATACTTAAACTGTTTTACAATTATACATATTTAAGAGATATTTTAAATACTTAATAACTTAGACAGTTTAAATAATTTATTTACTTTGACATAGAAGTTGCTTTATCAATCATCAATTCTGCTCCTCAAGATTAACACACATTATTGGTGAGTTTTAGTAATGCAAACATATGCGGAGCTTACTGCAACGTAATGCGAGTGTATATAAAATGATAAAAAAGAAAAATTTGGTAATTTATGACCCTTTGTTATTAACGTGTAAATTTTAGCATCAAATGAAAACTGCATGGTCCATAAAATATTTTTTAAACACTTGTTGCAGCATTTGGTATTTATATACTATTTAAATACTGAATTTTGACTAAGTATTTCCAAAGTATTCAAAAACTCACTCAACATTTGAGTATTTTAACAGCACTGATTATAATGTATATTGTTTGTATGAGATGTATCTAGTATTTTGTGAAGACCATATTATTTAAATGGACGAAATCTTAAAAAACTACTGTATTTCAAGTAGCAATGTCTAACATTTAGCAATTTAAAAAATAAAAACGGAAAAGAATTCAAATTTAAGCTTTCGTAACAGAACAATCATTTATTTAACAAAATTTTTCCTTCCAATCATATTTCAATTCGGATTTTTCAAACAAAACATCCAGTTTTCAATTCGAGTTCATCTACACACACATAATTCTTAACTTTCATATTCAAAGCATTCAACTAATTGAAAACCTGTTGCTGATGAGAGAACTCAAGAGGACCATGGCGTCCTCTATGAAGGTTACAGTTTCATTTATCGAATCACCTGATTTTATAATTTTGAAAAATTTGTTAATACTATTATAAAAATCATATTTTATAAATGCAATAACTGTGAATAAACTACAAATAATGAAAAAGTTATAAACCTTTGAATAACAATTCCTTTCCTTTAAATGTTGAAAAGTCAAATTTTTGTGATCTCCAGAAATCTTCCAGTGATTTCAACTTGTATGCAATGTCTTTCTCTCTAGACGCTGTTATGCAAACATCCTGCAAGTTCAAGGTCAGAGTCAACTGGTTAGAAAACAATTCCAAAACTTGTGTCGTTAGTAAATAGTTGAACCATCACAATCGACAAAAAATATTTTCAATATGGATCAACCTCGATATCTTCTCTAAACTTCAACAATGGCAACTTGATGACATCTTTCATCAGCATAACATTGGTCTCATTGAATTCAAAGACTTCCCCACACAAGCTGAATATCTGACGCCATACGTTGTCCGCCAGGGGACCAGCGCTCATCATCTCGATCAGCGATTGCACTTCAATGTAGTTGTTTATCATTTCGCGCAAGTCTTCGTACTCGGACCATGTTTTCACGGCAGGGGGCAGCTTCACAATTCTTCACGACGTAAAAAGTTGAGTTGGTGAAAAATAAATAATAATCGTCGATCAGCTCAACTAATGTGAAAATTTGTTAGATGAACACTTGAACACAACGATGCAGCAATACGCAACAAAGAGAAAAAATTAAAACCTAACAGTATAAAATCAAGTGACCAGCATTGCTCTGAATGCATGGTAATGAAAATAATGCGGTGCGCAGGTGCATGTGCTCTTTCAAAATGAAGTACGAAGAGATTTGAAAGTGGAAATATTGTGAGGCTATATAAACCTCTAACAATTAAAGAACTGATGGCCAAAATCATGATTATTAATACCTCAAAATCAACATTATTGAAAATTAATACAAAAAGATCACTAAAACATAAAAATGATTAAAATGAATCTAACTTATTATAGAAGGCATTTATGTCTGACATCATTTCAACGATGTTAACATCAGCCCAAGAACTTTCAAGCAATTCATTTAAGCGTTTCGACACATCGTTGTATAACGTGAAAAAGAGTAGCTTCAAATCTAAATCTGATTTCAACTCTATCAGTTGATTGAATTGGGTTACTGGCAGACCGAAAAGTTGCTCCCCGCCGTTATAGCTGACGTATTTGTCCCACAGTTGCTCAAACTCAAACTGGAAAGATGTCAGTTTGTTGAGAGATTCGCGAGGAGATAAATTTTGTTGATCTTTGGCATAAAAGCTGGAAATTAAAATATTATATATAATACGTTACTTAATCAAATATCCAAAAAAACTCTGTTCGCCAATGTATTTGAATCAATTTAAATTAAACAGCGTTAACACTTGCTAAAATTAACAGAGTATAAGAGCCGGATAATCTAAAAAATAAAATAATAACCATGAATTATACTGCTGAGCAAAAACGTTCAAATCCTGTTTGTATTGATGAACGTTGGCTACCAGCATCTTCATGTACGTCGGTTGAATTTTCAATAGGTTGTCTTGAGTTAACAGGGCCTTAAAATTTCAAACAAATAATTATTAAACTGAACAAACGTGGCAGGCTGCAAATTATATTCAAAAAATAAAACAGTTTTTAGAAAAGAGTTGAAGAATTATCGAAAAAATATTCAAAAAGTTAACATTTATAACAAATTAAATTTATTTTTGTTGAACATTTTTTGGTAGAAAAAGTCATTATAAGATCCGAATAAAAAGAAATAAGAATGACTTTCTGTTTCAATAACTTCCACTGATACGAAGCGGCATCTATGGATTCAACATTGCCGTCACTGAAATGCAAGTTGTACTTGCTGAACATCAGGAATGTTTCTTCCAGGTAGAGCAGCTCGTGATCAACATCGACCTCTTTCTCCCTCAACTCAGTTATTACGGACATGAGCAATCTAATATCATCTGCAGAGGTAGCGTGTAATTTTAGATTTTAAAAAGTTGTGGAATTTCATATCATCACATCTTCTTCTCATTAAATTTAACACGTTCTGTACCGGCACTTAAAATTTATCATTATATTTCCAGGTTGTTATGTAGGTTGATCACTTGGACAAGCAATTATAACTGAACGAGCATTAAAAAGTTTGAACTCATTCAGTTGTCATTAAAACAAAATTAAAATTTGCAAGGCGTGACAAATGTTACACATTCGTATCAACCTAGGTCTTTAACAGGTCTGTCCAACTTTCTGCTAGCACCGTGTACGTAAGCAACAAGTGGTTTTAACTGGAGTGTGCACTGGTTGTTGTGCACGGATGCATACATCATCATCTTCCTGTGGCCTTCCTTCATGAAGCAACTTTTCAAGTTATCCAATGTCAGAAGAAGGCAGTCGCACGTTGAAGTGCTGGGCAGTTCAGATGCCAGGAGACACAAATTCTGAGTGCCATTATTTATATAAATAACAAAAGTAAGTTAATATTGTTGTGAACAAGAAAATTTACAAAAATAATTAGAGATGTTTAAGAAAAATGAGTTAATAACGATGGAAAATATTAATGAAAATTGTGGAAAACAAAAATTATTATGGAAATAAGAAAGTGACAGACAGACAGGTTAGATAACACACACACACACACACACACACACACACACACACACACACACACACACACACACACACACACACACACACACGCACACACGCACACACGCACACACGCACGCACGCACACACACACACATATATATATATACGTTGTAATGCTTCAAGACATCTTCTAAGTCAGACAGGTTGTATTTCTTCACCTTAAACTCTTCTATTTTCTCATCTAAAGTCTGTTCAAAAATTGATAAATTATGAACGTAGAATTTAACAACCGAGTGAAAATGTAAACGTTAATTTAAGTAGAAAAAATAGCAGAATGACATTTAGAGCATGGGAGACAATCATTGAATGAACCAGTATAGAGGATACAAAGCAGTATGTAACGACGACTACAAACCTCATCGAAGAGATCGTTGAACGTTGAGAAGCTGCTCAGGAATGACGAAACTGACTTGCGGTTGTTTGTAATGATGGAACAGAGTTGGACAATGAGCCTGGAGATTTCCGAGTTGTCGTGCAGCACTCTGCTGATCCTCGCTACCGGGCCGCCCGATGAATCGCCACTCGGTGTTTTATACGTCGACGAACTCAAACGGTCAGTGTTCTGGGTGCGGTTTTTAAGCATTAAATGATGAATAAGCAAGGAAGAAACGTGATCACTGTTATGGAAGCAGCTGAATTTCAACCGCTCAGATCATACCGAATGTTTAGTCTTTAAAGTATTTAAGAATCCAATTAATGATTTATTTCACCCATTTATAAAGAAAAAACAAAAAGAGGAAAATAATTATTCATATATAATATACATAAGTTTTAAAACACTTTTGAAAAGTAATAATACATTACATTTTAAACATTGTGCTGCATAATAGAATGGATCTTAAATCGGCACAGCTTAAAACATTTTTTTTTTACTAGAAAATGGATGAACGCGTAAGAACTCACAGGCACGCAGTTTATTGTTTTAAATTCAAAAATGTGCACCATTAGCGTCAACTGTTCATAAACAAAACTTTCACAATATGTAGGCAAACTTAAATAATTGTTCTTATTAAAAGATGTAATAATCTAGAAATTTGTATGTGAATATGAATCTATAGCAGAATTGCCAGGATTCGCGTTGCTATTGTGCTATAACCTTGTTCAAATATTGTCTGTATAGTTTTCGCGTTTGTCGGAGCTGCACAATAAAGAAAATAAATAATGATTGTGAATGAAAATTTTATTGACCTGCTCGCTTTTTGTGGCTTCGTTAACTTTCTTGAGAGCCTCCCAGTCAATGAGACGGTCAGCCATCTTCGTTATGTTCTGTAGCAACTTTGTAATGCACGCCTGCACACAAAACAGTCAACCACGACTTTACGAAAAATATAATACACACACACCATATAAGAGGATTTAGAATAAGGTTGACAATTACTTAGATTCACAAATTTGATTGGGCTTTGTTTCAGCAGCATTTAATCAAAAAGAAAAACATTACCATCAACAACAAATATAACAGATTAATAAGAAAATGAAAATAAAAAAACGCCATTGAATTGAATTTTCAAACTGCAACAGTAATTACTTGAATATCGTCGATAGATGTCGACAGTACTATTGAGTTATTAAATTTCGATAGGGTTACATCGACGGAGATGACAGCTCCGTTGTAGGCTGTTCTCTTTTGTCCATCGTAACTCTCATCTTTCGTCACTTCTTCGTCCCTCACTTCCTCCTCCTCCTCCTCCTCATCATCATCCATTCTTAGCTGACCGTTTGCGCCATGGAGAACATTTTTCAGGGATTCTAAGCTTATCTTGATGGCTGTCGTGTTGAAATAAAATTTTCTATGCCGTTTATATTAATAAATACATTAATTAATTAAGCACAAAACGTCACAAAGGTCGTCCAAAAAAGTCCTGGTCGCAAACAATCGAGCAAGACATGAAAGCTCTAAATTTAAATGAAATGGATAAAACTGATCGCCTAATTTGGAGCAAAAAGTTGATGGCAAAGAAAACAACGTCCTACTCGGGGAACCGGGTCTCTGGACGCAAAACAAAGATTGATTGATTGATTGAAGCACAAAAACCAATAAAATAAAATAATCAAAAATTGATCTGCTTGCATGTTTCATTCAACAATGCGATTTTAAGCTCAAATTTTTGTTTCACCACTAACCCAAATTCTCAATGGGGAATTCTCAATGAGGAACTTTCCCAACCACATCACTCATTCCGTCCACACTTCAACATTAACAATCAACTACTGATAATCTTTTTGAAAACTACACCAGAAATTTCTTGGTGAACTACGCCAACCTCACCAAAAGAAACTACTTGATCAAGAGATTTAAAATGACTCTCACATTTGATGAAGGCCTCCTGAAGTTTCTGAGCAAAGGAGAAGACGACAACAGAGTAAGCATCCAGGTCCTCAACGCAGAGTTCATGGAACTGCTTCCACTCATCGGCACTCATGTGTCCCATCAATAGTTCAAAGGTGTCATTCAGATTTGATTCTATGTCGCTACTTATCCTGTAAATAATTTTCAAAATAAATTTCAATGGTAAAAAATTCAAAAATTTCAGTATAATCATTCTTTATTTAAATTTTTAATAAGTTAGTTATATATAAACGTTTTTATTTTAGTCCTGAAGTAAATTAGAACGCAGTCTCAGTCGCAATTGCGTACGTGTGTGAATGGTGAAATAATTTCCAACCGTTCCATAAAGACGGCAATGCCATGCGGCATGCATAAATAATGCATAAATTGAAAAACAGTTACAAAAACAAGAGAGCATTTGAACCGGGCACTAGCAAAATAATTCATCAAACCAACCAAGAACGTCGTCACCCTCATAATGCTTGAGCTAATTGGCCAACCGTCTTCAATGGTTAGCATATTGATTTTGTTTTTTACACTTTCTGTCTTAACATCAAAATTTTCAAATAAGAATACAAACTTGGAAAACTCATTTTGCTTATTGGTCAAATATTCCATGTTTCTGTTGAAAAATTGCGTAACATTCATGGTCACATTCATTCTGGCGACGCAGGATGTGTTGGCGACAACATCCAACTTTGAGCCAATCCTACTCTCCAACATGTCTCGAACCATTGTGCAGAGGTTGTTGAAGGACGCTACTGCGTTGTAGGCCTTGCTGATATCTGATAAAATAAGTTTCTTCTGTGACATAACAACAAATAATACATCATCTACACCGTATTGCCATGGTTTCGCAAATGATGGTGCTGACATTTGAAATGTTTTAAAAAATTAAAGAATGCTAATCTAATTTTTGTTAGTAAACGAATATCTTTAGCAACGTTGATAAAATATGCAGTTACTACTAAAAATATGAACATTTATAAAAAAAATAGCACAAATAGCAAAAACGACATCCTGACGTTGAAGTTGTGAAGACGCATCGCAAAAACTTAGCAGATCACAAGGTAACAGATAATTTAAATAGTGGAAACTTTTAGAATGAAATGTTTAAAATAAGATATGTCATCTACAAGCGACTCTAACTAAAATAAACTCATAGTAACAATGACAGTGTAGCAACTCGTTGCTGTGTTGGAGATGATGTTATTGGACTTCGTTATAAAAAACAGCAATGCAACGAACATTGATCAATTTGAACCGAGGTCCAGGTGATGAGACGCAATCCAGGTGCGATCAAACGATCAATCCTCCTTCTAATTGGTCTGAACATAAATTCCATACTGGCCGATATGTTGTTCATGGTTGTGTTGTAAATGGTCGTCAAACACTTGAGACTGCACCCGAACAAAACGTTAAGAAACATTTATTTAAAAAACATATATTATTGGTTTAACCAAACTAAAACGACGCCAATTCAACAAATATAGACAATATAATGTAATAATAAATATTATTGAATGCGAGCTAACTTCTCATAAAGTCTCTTGACCCTGGGTTCGACGTGGCTGAGCAGAAGAGCAGCCTCTGGCACTTGCATCCCCATCTTGCGCAAGTGCTTCACTTCAAGCAGCAGCTCAAACACCTTCACATCCAGATTCACTCTGAGATTTTCATCTTCAGTCATCAAGAGAGGTGACTTCAAACAGTCCATTGCTTCTTCAACTTGCGTTGCCCATTCTTTGAACTTTGATTGCTGGCGTTATAATTTAAACTTTTTTATATAAAATTCCATTATTAACCAATTTTTTCCACCGTTAAGTTAATTTTGCTGTCCTAATTTTTTACTTTTTAATTATTATGTATTTTTAATAAGTCAAATGGTTCGTCTAGTGTTCAGTCAATAAATACGTGGCTGAAATCTGTGAATATGTAAAACGAAAAGAAAGCATACTTTATATTCGACGAGGTCAATGGCCAGCTTGTTGAATTTCCTAATCGTGGCCACACATCCGTCCATCTGGCGAGCATTAATATATAAATTTTTCATAACATGAAACATGAAGAAATAAGCAGATTAATTTATTAAAACAATATCATATCATCATCATCGTCGTCGTCGTTGTCTCGTTCAGAAGTACGGAAAAATTAAATAATATGCGGAGTCACACATCTTGTTGTAAACTGTTGAGTTGTTTCCAAGTATTAACACGATAAAAAAATTCTTAATATGCCAATATCATTGTTAGTTGCTAAAAGTGTTTGAAATTTTTAACTTCACCACACGTAACAACAGAAGATGTAATGAAAAGTGAGGAGTGACCACCTTGAGCAATCCAGGTATAACTTTAAAGAGGTCCATAGGTTTCATGATCTTCATGAGTAGCAGGTCACTCCAGTACATAGCACTGCTCATCGCTGGAAAGTTCCGGCATCTTGGTGGATGGCTTTTATTTTCTTCAAATGAAGTCAGAACTGAATTTAAATGATGCGAATAAACGTCGAATACGGCCAGGTATTTAGCGTTGACATCAATGTGATGAGCTGGAAAGGCAGTGAAGTTGGACAAAAATTGGATTTGCTTCACTATCTGCAAAGTCATCATTGAGCGTAAAATACTAATCAGCTTTGATTAAATTGATTTAATAAAAATGGTTCACTTCATTTTAATTACATTCTGAACTAATTCAACAAGGCAGGTTAAGAGGGCGAGATAGTGTAAAGGTTAAAGGCGCCAGGTCCTGCGATGCATTGATTGGGCCCGATTGCAACCAGATCTTCGCCCACCATGAACAATGTTATGATGCCTTGATCCACGCGTGTTGTTTCAAATAAATTCTTTTTAAGAAATATCTTTAGAACATTCCATCGAATATCACCAACATATTTTCATCATATAGTTAGCATTTCTGAGTCTCTCTTTAAATAATTTAATTACATTGAACTAAATTATGAGGTGGTTCTCTTTCTCAAGATGTTTAAAAGAATTGCAAACAATCATTAAAACATTATTTCCTTCATTTAAACTTTTTTGGTAAAATATTTAAAAATTAATAAAGTTGTACTTTGCATAGTATTTGTTGACTTGTTTAAAGTGCCTCTCCTGAGGCGTTATATAAATAAAAGTACCTAGAATTAGCATTTTAAAAACGAATGAACATGTAAGTAAAACCGACAGGCGATAGTCTGGATAATGAGAAATCAATGAAGTTGTTCAACTGGTTGGACAATGTCTTGAATGAAATTTTGACGTTTTCGTAGTCACGGTTGAACTATCGAAAATGAAAATAATAACGACTAATAATTCATGATAATGCATCGGTCATTTTATTAGATCACTCTTGTTTCAACAAAACTGAAAAACTATCATTTACTTACTTGTTGTTTACGATAATCGAGGACGTCATATTTGATATTCCTGACGCTGGTCAAGATGACTTGATACTTGTTTATAAATACTTGCACGCCATCAACATTGACGTGCTGCAGTGGCGAGAATTCGTGCATCCAGCCACGAATAACTGCCAACTGCTGAAGTCGTTTCACAAACATTTCAAACTTTCCGAAAATAGTGTTTTCACTGGACAATTTAAATTGTTAAATGTAAAAAGTAATATACATTGTAGCTCAAATTTTTATCATAAAACGCGATGTTTTAAATTAAAAGTTTACAATCCTGTCATATGAACTATATAATATATTTCCACTCAGAATATTTTTTAAATAAAATGACAATATTGATTTTTATTTGCTGTACTTTTGTAAATCATTTCCACTTTGAACGTTTTTTCGAATAAGTTTTAATTATTTCATAACTCAGTAAGTTAAAGATTCAACAAAAACTGAAAAAATACTTGAGCTTAGCAATGAAGTCATGAAAAATGATATAAAAATATTTTACTAGACCACACCTAAAGTCGAATTGTTTCATTTCCTTATTGGCAGATAGTTTTTCTTTTATCTCATTGAATTTGCTTTTATATGTTCGGTACAATGAGACACAATTATCAATCCTTGACTTCACGTCCGAGTACTTCAAATTCCAAATTAATTCAAGACTGCCAGTTGATATTCTTTTAACAAAAACAACTTCTTTATTAGAAGAACCTGAAGTAGTAGAACCTTTTGAACCACTATTGTTATTACTATCACGATTTTTGTCGCTTAGACAGGTCACCATATAAAGCTTACAGGAAGTGATCATTTGGTTGGTCAGCTTACTAAAGAGTGAGGTCATTCGTTCATTGGTGTTGTAATATGAAGAGACATTGTAGACCAATTGAGCGCAGTTTAAAAGCCTTGGGATCATCTTTTGCATCTCTACCTAGAAATGAAAGGAATTAAAAAAAAATTAGAATTATTAATCTGGTAGAGATTTTTTCATGGCGTGAATAACTTTTTGAAAACATTCATTAATTACTCATTATAGCGTTTATAACAAAATTAAAAAATAATTATTAAACGTTAAAAAAAAATTACTTACTGGATTGCATTGTTTCATATGACCAAAGTTGGTTTTGAGCGCTTCTAAATATCTTACGTTGTCTTTCGCCTCATTTACTCCGTCAGTGATCTTTGAATCCTATACAAATTATTCATATAACTTTCTTTCTAAGAATAATGTTAATACAACCTATATGTTATTGATCTGTGCACGAAAGATGAGCTTCATGTGTGAACAAAAAGTCTATTCTTGATGGACGTTAGCGTGTACATGACCCACAAATACTCAACAACGTAGTCAGTGAAACCGTTCTATATACTGCGAGTTTAGAAGTCTGTCACTACTCGCCTGTGCACTTGTGCATTTGTGTAAGAAGAACAAGTCCACTGTGAAACAAGTATAAGCTTCAGATCTTACCGGTAGCAGAGGTATTGGATGACATGGTGGAAAATCGTAAACCGTAACCCTGGTGTTACACTGGCTATTATGCCTAACAAACAATATTGAAAAACCTTGGTGCAAATTATCTTTTATTCAAACTACACTTTTAATCTGAATTTCCTAGCTATTGCGCAGAAGAATTAAATGACACCAGACTCCACAACGTGAGTGTACAACGAAAGCGCAGTCTCAACTTGACTATCGCGTCTAAAAAAACAGGGTAACCTTGAGGCAAAATTATAGATAATAAAAACCTGCGTTTTTGGCATTGCTTTAGTTTTCTGAAACTAAAAATCTTAACCAGCTCGCTAGCAAATTGGTGATCTTATTTCAGTGTAGTGTTAAGAAGCTGACAGACCAGAGCATCATATTAAATAGTATGAAAGATATGAAATACTATATCTGTAACTTCAAAGTTCATATACTCACAACAAAAAACCGAATTAGAGAAACAAAGACCGTAGCAATATGAGAACAACAGTTCACGCTAGAATGAGCTAGAACGTTACTAATAAAGCAAGAGATCTTTCTTAGATCATCACAGTTGAAGCGACACATTTTTTTAAAAAGTGAGCCACGAAAGCATCTTAAAAATTTTGAAAGGCTGCGTATTATCCTTATAATCTTTGATCTACCACTTTGAAAAAGTTCAAATTATCTTTGTCCGGTGTTTTGCCATATGCCATTTGAGAGATAATTATTTCATGTCAGAAAATAGAAAATTGACAAGATGATTCACAACCTTCCAATCAGGTAGTTTAGCCAAAAAATGTGGTGTCTAACGAGGACTTATGAATGAGCACAAAGTGGAAGTTTTCAGCCAGGAGGAAAAATTATTTGGGCAGTTCTTTATAAATGTCAGGACGTCACTAACGCACTGAGACACTGAATGAGTCATGTAAACGTTTTCTCACGTCAGATTATAGAGTCAAATGAAAATTTGTTCAACTCCTTGAATGAAAATTTTCCGACACTGTCTTCCGACTCCTGTTTATCAATTTTAAATAAATACAACTAACGTGTGATATGTTAAAAGCATGAAACCAGTTGGTAGAATTCCTTTCCTTAATATTATTATTTTATAGTTATTCTCAATTTACGGTCCAAGAAATACTGAAAGATAAATTAATATTTTTTTCATAATTATGCAGTGCTCATTGTTTTGCCAATAGAAAAATTACCGTTGCATTGCAAAGATGCAATTCTTATAGCTGGCAAATGTCACAAAAGCACTAAAAACGTTGATTACGTCCCAAGTTATTAGAAGGATCAATACTGCAAACGTTAACATTAATTTTTACATCAAACAACTTACCAAGTCTTTCCACTGGGTAAGATACTTCGACCTGTTGGCCAATAAGATATGAACCACGGCTTTGCAATGTGATGATTTCAATTGTTCTAACAACCTAAAAAAAATTTCAAAATATTTAAAAATACAAAGTTTCTAATTTTTCAGTTCACAACTGTTGACATCATACAGTGAAACGAAAGATTGATTTTCAGGTGTCATATAACTGCAACATCGTGAAATTTTTCAAAAGTTATTCAGTTATCTTTAAAATAACAGTACCATATTTTCGTAAATACCCTAATACGATAAATTAATAATAAATCATCCTTTCATGACAAAATGAAAACTATTTTTTAGCAAAGACGTTTTTGAAAAATGAAATTAAGTTTACATTAATTAAACTTATACGAGAAGATCAAAGATTTTAAAAAAAAGGCCACGAAAAACATACAACGTTATCATAAATAGTTTAAAAACTAGGTGGTGGGATACATACATGGCAAATTTAGCCATTCTGAGCTTCCAATGAGAAAGTTCAACATGTGGACCAGCATCTGGTTCCTCCCTTCGTATGCGATTGCACTCCTCTAACAACCTGCTTATCTGGTCCATCCAGCATATCAACAAATCTTCTGACTCCTTCACAACTTTCCTGTCTTTGGCTTATTCATCACATCGTTAAATGAATTTATTTGATTTGTTTAACTTGAATAACGACATGTTTGTGAGATCAATTTTAAAACCACAGCAAAATAAAAACTACACAATAATGTTTTGTTAAAAAATAATCATCACCTTAAAGCGCTGATGCTAAAGATTGTTTATGATATTAATATACATAAAATATGTAAAACAATAACTATGATTTAACATATTTTTTAATGACAAAAGTAAAAACTAACCAATTTCAAAATATTGCATGGGTGTCAGTTGTTCCAACATATCACTGATGTCACATCTCTTCAAATAAATGCCATCATCCACACTGTCTTTAAATTCTGGTAGTTTTTCTGTAAAATCTTCCAGTACAGATTTAAATTTTTGCACATCAGATGACATTTGCACTTTGTTGAGGTCCTTAAAAATAATGAAAATAGTTGAAAACAAAATAATCCTGTTTGTTTTAAATCTCAGACAAGAGATCTCATTCAGTTTTGATACTTTTCCAACATATTTTCATTAATTGTGAGAACTGTCTAACAATTTAACTTAAAAAGCTGTCAAACAATTTTTGACTCTATGACAACTACAATTAAACAAAATTAAAATTAAAACGATTAAAACCATTCACTCAATTTGGCAATTTTTATCTTTTTCCTTGAGCATGAGGTGGCATGTTTTATAAAATTCTTAAAAGCCTTACTAATAATTGACACATGTATAAATTAAACTGCCAAAAACCTAATTCGTTCTTTTAAAATATTTATGATTTAATATATAAATATGAGAATAATATTTATAATTACTAGATAATAAAATGATGAATTGACTTCACCTGTTTGTGATTAAGGCATTGCACAAAAAGATTGGACATGATGAAGTGCAGGGGTCCAAGTAGATCTCCTTGCTGGCTGGGGAAACAAATCATGCTTACCTCTTCTGAAACATTGCCAGGTGTTATTAATTTTGAGGCAGAACTTTTGCAAAAAACTATGCATTTCCCCGCAACTGGCTTTGTAAATAAAATTCTTATTGACGAATTAACAAATTCAAATAAAATGATTTAATATTACCTCACTAAAATCTGTGATAAAAAACTTTTTTGAAAGGCTTGAAATACTGAGAGTTCGCTATCAGACAAAAATGATGATTGCTATTAAAAACTATTTGATAATACTAATATGATAAATGATAATGGTGATAATTGTTATAATCCTAATAATATAAACCACATGATAAAGTATAGAAATCTGTTATAAGAATTTGTAAATAGGAGTCACACAAAGGTGAGTTTAACAGTGCTGGTTTAATAAGAAATGATGGAAACATTGAAAAGGTTATTTGATTGAAACCTCGTCTTCATTGCTAACAAATGCAAGAACCAACATTTTGCCATCACTAAAAAAGTTTTCTATTCTTCTAAACTGTTTCATAAAATAAAAGTAACATAAATAATAAGTCTTTAAAGATGTAGAGTGAACCATTTGGATTAAAATGAATATTTAAACTGCCTTATCATCGGTCAAAACTGTTTCTTCAATAAGTTCTTTTTCAATATCTAAAACTGTAGACAACTATTGAAAAAAATTTAAATAGTAATTATTAACTGTTATTGATATGATGACTTGTCAGTTTCTAACAAAAACTAGCAGTGATGGTTTATGAAAAAAATGCTTACCAAATAGAAAATGTATCGATGGCGATTATCTAGCTAGAAAAATTAATAATAATAAGAAAATTAAATACAAATTAAAATGTTTTAAATTAATAATTGAACTAAATTATTACATAAAATCAGAAATTCAAAAAAAATTGGTATTCGGCCATTTCATTTTTTATTTTAAGCATCTATTTCTATGAACTTTCTATTTAGGGCAGCATCATGTGATGGTTTACTTAGTGCCAGTGATTAAGTTAAGATAGCCTGGTCCTGTTTTATACAAAGAACCGGTTTAAATATGAAGAAATATGAAATTTAACACATATTCATATACACTGTTTGTGTGTTGTTGATACCTCTGAACTGAACTTTAGAAGAGTGAAATTTAAATAGATAGAAGAAAAAAGAAGACCTTCTTTTATTTAACAACTGATTAACAAGTTAAATTTTAACCCTTTCTAATGTTAAGTTAAAAATTTTAACCTTTTAAAATTGCAACATTAAAATAAAAAAATAGCGTCATTCGAAATATGTGCTGGTTGGCAAAATGATAAAATAATGTTCGGTACATTATGTCGATTAATAATATTGATGAGTTGGTATATAATTCATAAAAGAAAATAAGGATAAGAAAAACCACAGTGAGTTTTCTTTCTTCTTTTGTAGCTTTCAAATACTTTTGCATTTCTTTTGTTGCTTCACCTGAGTAGACAACACTCCTTCTTTTCTATAAAATAGATAAAAACAAAGATAATGCGAAATTTGAAAATAAATAAAATCAAAAACCCTTTCGTTCAAAAACCCGCGTCCATCCTAATTCATGATTTTAAATATGACGACATACGACCTGCCAGTGATGAGCTGGCTATATACCGACGGTTTCGGTAACGTCTCATCCCTTTTTTTTATGTCAATTATTATAAATATTTTATTTATCAATTATTACAAATATCAATACATTAAACATATTTATCAAACTTTTAAACAAATATTCAAACTCGAAAAATATATTTCGATTTGCATGAGACAATATGAAAAGTTAAAGCAGATGTTTGTGAGTTTTTAACCAGAGTAGAGTATGCACAAATTTAACAATCATCAATAAGGAAGAATCCTTTCTCTCATTCAACATTATTTAAAGTATGGAGTAAATAAATTGGATTCTTACTTTAGGTTGAATTGATTGATTATTCATCTCAGTCGATTTCCATACAGCTTACGAGAAGACAATAAAAAAGATTAATGCTGAAATAAATCAAACGGGATTTAACGAAATGTAGTTCGGTCTCTCAACGAATAATTATATTATTTTTCTGACTCACAAACATCATCAGAAGTTTGTTATATTAATTGTGATTTTGCAACATGCCTTAAGAAAAATAAAAACGGTGTTATATAGGTATACGTATATAATATATATCTAATATATATAGTGTTTCATATGATGATAATGGTTGTTTTCAGAGATATTTATATATTATGCACTTAAGATATACATGAATAAAATGTGTAACCATTGGTGACACAAGTACCTACGTGCTTGAACGGGAAGCATGATCGAACACGACGATTTTATTAACATAAAAATCATTCAGCATTCATATTATCAGCGTTAACAGAAACATGCCTCACTTATTACATATATTCGATGTATTCAGTGAAATTTGTCAAGCTCTAATAATCGCAAAAAATTTTCACCTTACATATTTCACACTGATCCGTATTTTTTGTATTTTTATATTTTTATAAGTGTATTTTTAACAAACGAAATAAAGTGATAATATCATTTAACAGGGAAATGAAAGAGTCTCGATAGTGCATTTCGTTACCATTTTTTGCATGCATTTGAACCGGATTATTTCACATGGCTTTGAGTCATTCATTCATTATTTAGCGTGCGAACGACGCATTTTTTCTTAGAATACGTTATCGCTTGAACTTCCCGTTGAAGTACCTAATTGTTATTGAAGCAATTGATTCGACGTGATAGATCTTCACCGCTTAATGTATGTCAAATTCTCGTTTCTCACCACGGTTACTAAGTTTTTAAGTTGAACGATTGGACATAATGCTAATTTTAAAAAAATGAGCATATAAGAGTTTTTTAAATGGCATAATATAAAATGTTAAAGTAATTGGCGGTTTTGACTTTGAAAATTTTTTCAATTTAATTCTGGATATTCAATGATTCATGACAATGACCATTATTTTAGATTCATGCTTTTAAAATCGTCGTAAGTTTGAGTGTTATCAGAAAGCTGCTAAGAGCAATAATGACAATAAAACGATTTGCACACTGTTTATAACAATTTTTATTAAATTTGAATAAAAAATGTTTTAAAAATGGCAAATAATAAATCAATAAAAAAAATAATCGTTTCCATAATTTTCAAACTTTCAAATGTGCTGCGGTTGATAATATATGAAGATGTAAGATGTATCTTTTCATATAGGTAATAAACAGATCTGTCTTTGTCGCTGTTTTTTGCTTTGCTTTAAGTTATTATAGTGAATTTTATTGAAGCTTGAACCTTTTAAATGTGCTAACAAACAGAAATTTTAACGACTTAAAAATTCATCGAGTCATCTTATAATTGCTTTTACGAATTTAGTAATAATAGCCCCTTTTATTTTAAATCAGTTGGCCGATTTTCACTTATACCGTGACGCCTAATTGAGGAATGCTTTTTAAATTTAAATGCGTATTTGGTAAGTTGTTTATAAAACAATATTATTGTTTTCAAACCGGGAAATAAAAAAATAACTTAAAAAATACTTTGATGTTTTGAAAAAGGGTTAACCGCTTATAGGAATAAACTCTAACACACATCCCAGCAACTTTCTTGCCACGACACGTGTTCCAGTGGTTTACAAAAACCAGATACACCCGCATGTACGTACGTATGTGTGTACGTGCCTGTGCGTTTTGTATGATGTTTGCTTGACTGACGAACGTAATGCGAACAAAGAAGATGCGATATTTCTTGCATGACTAAGCATGCCTGTCTTTGGAAAAAGAAGCACAAAAGTATGCATGCAACAGACATATACATTTCAAGTAAATTTAAAATTGCTTTGATGATTCCAAATGACAAGGATGATGTTAGAAACATTTGGTTACAAACTTTAAAACAAAATCCATATTCATTTTGTAGAAAATTGATTGATTTGTACATACTTTTGAAATGATGTAAACTCAAGCTCTCAAGCTAACGTCATTTATAAATGTTCGTGCGGTGAGTGAGATAGTGTGATTGTTAGTGGTTCTTGGTTCTACGTTGCAGCAACTGGGCTCGAATGTGCGCTATGTGTGCGATACGTTAATATGTGTGTGTGTGTTGTATGTATGTATGTAAGTATGTGTGTGTGTGGTGTGTGTGTGTGTGTGTGTGGTGTGTGTGTGTCATTGAATTGAAAAGAAACTATTGCCATCAATTATTATTCGCCAATTTCATAAAATCTTAACTTAACATCAAATTATCAATTTATTAGTATGTTTCAACTCATTTCGGCATTTTATTTAGGATTTTCTTTCCAGAAAATAGTGTTTTGCAACTTTCATTTTATGGTTAGATAGAAGATAAATGGTTAGATGCATGCTGTAAAAGTACATGAAGGGGTACATGCAAGACTTTTTGTGGGTACTGTGGTGTGTGGGTACTGCTGTACTCTACATTCCATGCATTCAATTCCTGTGGCGTCACGACTGGACACTAGACAAATATTTGCATGTGTCAGAGATTTGGCAACATGCCTTTTAATACTTTGCAAAAGTTAGTTAGTTGATCATGCAGTTGATAATCTATTACGATCACCATGAATCATTGTTATATCACCAAATGTTAGTGAAAATTTTTTAAAGAAATTGAATTAATAATTTGTTTTGCCGAAATAAAAGTGGTAAGGTTGAAAGTTTAGCGTTTCATTCAAAAATAAAAGTCATTTTAGTTTAATAATAACAACATTAAAACAATAATAATAATAGCTCAAAAATAAATTTTGAAATCTAGATGATAATATAAGCGTAGATGCTGTTAGAAAAGTAATCATAATAAAACCAACTTGAAAAATTTAAGCTTCAGATTTCTGTAAAAAATCTGCATAAAATTGATTAAACTTTGTGTAAACTTGTCCATTCATTTAGAAATGAACAGAGTTTTAGCCCGATAGTTTCACACATCGTCAACAAAGCGCTTACATGCATAAACAATTTGTCTTGGAATGCTGCTACTAACAGTGCGCCGGGATCCGACTCCCGCCTTTCAAGAGAGTTCTACTTCGACTCCGGGTAAAAATGTCCGACTCCCAACTCCGACTCTGGGTTTCGAATTCCAGAAAAACATTTCAACTTTTGCATCATAATTTCATCTTATCATCATTACTATATGAAAAATACTTTAAAAAACACTTAAAACCAGTCAATGTAAATGTTCTTCTTAGTAAAATTACATCATTTTTATATTTCATAATATACTGTAAGAAAATTAAGTGATTTTAATCTAAATTATTTCCTAAGTATTTATCAGATATATTAATTGAACCTAAACACCCCGGCTTACGATCGTCTTCTTCTTCTCGCTTTTTCTTAACTCGTGTTAAACACTCTTTTGCCAAATCTGCTTTTGCTTTTTCTGGTCCTTTTCTCTGGAACTCTCTACCTCCTTCTCTGACTACTTCTCCATCACTTGCGAAGTTCAGAGCGGATCTCAAGACCCATCTGTTTTCAAA